ATTTGTCGAGGAATCCCGAAACAACCAATCAGAAGCCTGCGTTTGTCTGCCTAACTTCTGATAAACAACCAATCAGATGACTGCGCTAGTCTACTTGACTAGGCTATAATAATGTATGTGAAATTTATATAAATACGTATTGATTTTCGTAATAAAACGATCTGTTGCCTGGCCCTTGTCTTCTGTTGTTACATTTGGTGTCGCTGCCTACCGGCGAATGGAAAGCCTATGCCCTGCAGTTTTTGATGGAGACATATGGATCTTCGGGCAGGACTTCAAGGCTTCTACGCAGTTGAGTGGCGTTCAAGATCTGTCAGCGATGGAGCTGCTACTTGGGACGCTGCTGGGAGGTCGGGCGAAAGCAGCATATGAAAGTGTGAGCCGAAATACCGACGAATGTTCGACAGGGTCAGGCAAACAGTTTCCAAAGTGGGAAGGACCACATATGGTCACTTCGAGATGGGTTTACGCGGACACAATCGCAATGACGAACAATGAGAGGCGCGTGAACGTCAGCGAGCTCCAGAAATGGATACAGCGAGACAAGCCAACGATGACGCCTGCACCAAGTAGATCAAGCCGACTTCAGTCGCACGTATTTGACGGGGGGATGAGTGTGGTGAGAGCAGGCCGTGAGAAAATATGAGCAAGGCTGATTCAACAACCAATCACAGCAAAGTTAACGTGGCAAAATATGATTCGCAGATAGAGAACTCTATTTGTCGAGGAATCCCGAAACAACCAATCAGAAGCCTGCGTTTGTCTGCCTAACTTCTGATAAACAACCAATCAGATGACTGCGCTAGTCTACTTGACTAGGCTATAATAATGTATGTGAAATTTATATAAATACGTATTGATTTTCGTAATAAAACGATCTGTTGCCTGGCCCTTGTCTTCTGTTGTTACATATGTAGCATGTAAGTTAGAACGCGGTATGTTCATCAGACAATGTAATTCCTTATGGTGACATATTCTCGATAGAAACCACGTGGTTAGATTGGATTAACAGTCCATAACATATGCTTTAATCTCAGAATTCCATGAATACTATGAACTAGGTAAATAACATGTCAGCTGTCTGTAAACCAACATATGCGATCCCACAGCCTCTGAAACCACTTATAAACGGTCATGCACACGGACAGACAATAGATAACTCCGAACAGAATTATAAACCTGAACTTCATCACAAACGGACTAAAAGAACTGAGCACAGACAATGGCTCGCAGTCCGAAATGGTATGAAGATGTATACTTATCCATGACTGTACAACTGGTGTGTACCCCATATATAGGAATGAAAATATTGTTACACATATATAAAAACCAATGACGAAGACGATAGCCCTGAATGCAAACAAAAAGATTTTTCATTCGTTAACCTTATTCAGTTGAGTGGGAATCTTTATACGACGACCATGATCTCGCATCTTATTTGAAACAGTGGTGTCAGCCAACTCTCATAAACTGTCAATATCCAGCTCTTACTTCACTGGACCTCACGCTGTCCCCCGAAGACTTTCAGAAACACCTTGCATTAACCAACGCGAAAACCAGAACACTGATGGGCGAATCAAGAATCCTTTATTCTTACGCCAACATGTAACCAACAATAGGGTTATTACACAAGGTCTAAGAATAAATGTTATAGCAATAAATCACGATAATACTTCTGATGGTTTTTATCTTCCTGTGAACAGCGAACGACGAGACAATGACTCCCGAATTGATGACCAGCGAAAAATATGGGGGAGTTAGGTTTGAGTAAACAACCATGAATTGATCGTTCAATCTTCGACTACATAGACAGTGGAAAGAATCTTCATCGATATAATAAGGAGGCCTGTCTACAATTTGAGCTACTAGAAAGCTCCAGCACTACATTTCATCTAATTTCCCCCGTTCAGCTCGTTTTTAATCTATTAAAATATGACCCCAGCCTTGGTGCTCGCTCCCACGAGGATTTGGACTGCATAACAATTGCACTAAGGCAATAAATGAAGTCTTTCTGGTGTGATAAGACAAATTTCCTGGTATGAAATCATGAATATGCAATTTTATGTGTCTGATTCAGAAACCTTTTTCACAAACATCTGCCTTCTTTCGATAATAATGGAAGCATAAGAAAGCAGGAACTGCAGAGACGAGTTAACTGAGAACCTACTGCCCCGTAGATATTCAAAAGTAAGTAGAGGTGGATTGGACACACGCCGGAAAGACCACTGAGTGTTACCGTACACCAGGTTATCGGTTGGAACTTGAATGTAAACAGTTTGGTGTCCGAAGGTGGTAGGGAGACAGCGTGAGGAAAAGGAACTTTGACACCTAGACAACTGTCATACAACATTTACCACCACAGAGTAACAAGTCTTATGTGCTGAGACTGGTGAACTTAGCGAACTGTTAACGCCACCCCTAGTGATCTCCGAACCTCTACTAAACGTAGGAAAAAACACTATGGTGGGTGGCAACGTACCTGAATACGTATGCCAACACACCAGAATACTGGTCCTGAGATCCCGATTACAAACGGACGATCCCTATTCATTAATTTTATTTGCCTGCGACCTATTCCACCTTCCAATATATATTTGATTACGGGGACGACGACGTGCCAAGGAAATCAGCTCCATGGTTTTTATGCCGATGATCTACTATTATTTATTCATTTTATTCCTCTGCGTTCCCAAGGGATCACTGGGATTAAAACTTGATCCTTGAAGCTTCAGTAGCAGTGGTATATTTATGGGTTGAGATCGCCAGTCTCACGCCCAACCTTCCCTCTTTGTCTGGCTTACTGCCGGCTGAGGGAGATGAAAGAGTGCTCCAGCCAAGGACCAAGCTCCAGACCACTTGCGTGGTTGCCAAGTGTCCTTCCACTGAACCACCAACGCCCCAACATGTTGTCAGGGCCACACGCATGCACATAGGATACAGCCTTCTTCAGACCTTGCACAGAACCATTAGGTCGTAAACCATTCCATCGCTCTTGGCAGATCTGGTAACAACAGCTACAAGAACACCACCACGGTATGTGACAGGCCAGGTGCGCCGTCGGTAATCTAGTCTGTCTGGATAGTTTCAGATAACTGAGAAGTCTCTACAGCTCTAAGGGGAAACGCATTGGTGGCGTTGCAGATTGTATTAAACCTCAATGGTCTACTTCCAGTAATGCCTGCTCCAGATTTCCAGTCGCCAAAACTGATTGTGTAACAGTTAATTATGGTACGAAACACTTTTATAAATACGGTTACACTTATATCATGAACACTTATTGCACGTCCTGCTGTAGTCTAGGGACTATCCTCCTTTGCTGATAGATTCAGAGTTTTTCTGCTACCTTTCTTAGTAGCTCATTGTAAGTGGTCAGCAGAGATTTCGATTCCTGCGATCGAAGATTCCTTGTGTTCCTAGTTCATGATAATATTGTCAACCTTCCAACTTGATTAGACAACACGATAGATTCAGCACCCTCGGCACACAGGAAGCTAAACTACTAAAGTCTGATCCTTGTGTTATAGGACACTTGCCAAAAATATATGGAAATTTGAAAAAGGACCTTCTCGTATCTCTCTAAGAAGACGCAGTGTAGGTGTTACTCTCAGGACAATATACAGAATCCTAGAAATGTTTATGGACGCAAACTGTGACCTACTGAACAGGTGCTAGGCGATTATTTCGTAATTAGAACGTTTTATATCAAACGTCGTCTTGAAATCTTCCTGCTCAGGAAGGGTATTCTTTATTAGATTTCACTGTTTTTCTTCTTCCCAAATGAAAAGCTTGCCCACAAAATAAGAAAAGTTAAAATACAAGATTTATTGATATTTACCACTTTTAAGTTGGTTCCCAGTCACAAGCAGTAAAATCCACCACAAATTACTTCCTAGAGTGCATAAAAGTCATGTCCTAACGAGTTTCTGGTTGAGGTTACTGGTAGCACAGTCGACATAGGCTCCCACGTGGAAATCCCAGAAGGATAGCTCACCAGAGGGCAAGGACCCGGGTGCGTTCCCACTTCTTTTCACTGCGGGTTTGCCGTCCCTGGAATTCCTTGCCGGCAGATGTAGCTATGGCACCGTCTTTGGACGCCTTTAAGCGAAGGCTGGAAAACCATGCAGCGATACAAGGACTGCATTCAAATGGCCTATCTCCTTAAAATCGCATACACCATTCAGTGGTAGGCAATTAAACTCGTCGTTTTGCTTCTTTACATTCTCTCCCGTCTTACTCTCCTGACAACTTATTAATATTATAATTACTATTATTATTATTACCGATATATATTATTCTTCAAACTTACTGAGCTGACTGTCGTTACGTTTCCTATTTCTGTTTCTGTCTCTTAGTCTGAATAACTTCACTAATAATATCTATCATTATTATTACTATTATTATTACTATCTCTTTTCTTTTGTCGATGATACCGAAGGACTAACTGGCGAAAGGATCAACTCCAATTACAGTAGTAACAGTCTTAACGCACCTCATACTACAAACCACATAAAATTAATCCCAGCACTACTCCCTTTGGAGTCAACCAAAGCTACGACAGTCGAGTGGCGGGACAAGTTACGCAGAAGTTTACCGAAGATCAGGAAACTATACCTTACAATCAAGAAACGAGCACAAAGAAATCAAATTGGTCTATACTAGCTCGTAAAAACGATAATGGATATTGGACATATGCAGAAACTCAGGTTCAATATTGAGCTATCGTTAGGATTTGTCAGATGTAGGTAACATGATATGTATAGTCCAGTAACATGCCTTAAATCCACTGTATTTTAACAGTGTTACTAAGGCACTATTAAGTATGTATTGTATCCTAGCAAAATTATCGCAACTCCGCACTAAATGAGGTTACATCATTGGGAATTGAAACGATCCTCAACATTTTTGAAGGGAACGTTACATTGCGTGCTAAATGAAGTAGCTAAGGACTTCCAAATCCAACGTTGATTGTCTCTCATATAGGAGAAAAAGTTAGACTTAATATGACTGTTACTTCTTATCGGCTATCGTTCATTCACAATACATTGAAATGTTCCACGCATTCTCATGCAACTTCAGCAGGTAATAATGTGGGCGAAATAATATGTATTATAGGATTGAAGAAAAATGTTTCTGCATCAAACAGTTCTCAAAACAACAAAGCTGGTGATAGCAACAGTGGTGGTTGTAAAGCTGTTGTAAAGACAGATGAATTGTCACTCAATGCTGCTATTCTTATTAAACAGTCTGAATATGCAGCAGGTTCAAAGCACACTCCTCCTCGCTTTCAAAAGATTATTAAAAGCTGCAGGCAGTTCTGGGCTGGAAACTTTCCCGATTGGTCCTGTTGTTTGGAAAAAGAGCTACGAAAAAGCCCACAAATTCTAGAAAATGCTCTTTCAGAACCTCATTTCCCGCATGGCTTTTCGATGCAACTTGCTAAAATATTTCACTTCAATATAAAGCTTGCAGGATTTCTGGATGCTTGCACTGCTTCAGGAGAGGTTAGTTGATTCGTTCAAATTTGTCGGTTAAGCTGTTCGGTATCATGTTCAGCATAACCTGAACGAATTCAGAGTGAAAATAGAACTTACGTATCATGTATGATTATTGTTAAAATACAAGATGTACATATGGAAGATGGAACCCACATGCTTGCTCACCGTTACTCTAAATATCACAATTTCGTATCATAGTTTGCCATGTAACGTAAATCTTTATGCGAAAAGTGAAGGGGGTACAATCAAAATGGACTTTTAAAAGGCTGTTTCTAATTTTTTTGAAGACAAAATTAGTTTCTTATGATGGTAATGCTCTTATATGATAGCTGATGAAATACAAAAGATCACTTTGCCTCATAAATGAGATGTAATATGTATGTAAGAACTCAAGGTGTATATCAGAAAAAAATCATCTAACACGCAAGCGATACTTTTACACTTCTTTCAAAACCCAGATTATGTTAAACTTTGCATATCGAATCCTTCCACAATCCTCTGTGTAATGTACTTCTTTTATTTTCCTAAGATAACCAACTTATCATCAGTGTTGTATTGTGCTTATTATTGTACAGTGTACGTTTTCATGTAAACCTCCTTAAGTGTAGGTGCACTCTGTCGCCTAACCTTGATTTCGTGTTTTCAGTTCCAGAGAATATATTTACATTATGAATAAAAGCTGGTATCGTTTCTTGAAGTGTATTGGTAGTTCACTGATAGGATGCTCTTTGGCCACGCACACGTCCGATCTCCGGCCAACTCATTCCTAATCCTTGCCTAGTTCCCCAGTCAGTGTTAACGACACAAAAAAGGGAAGGTCGGGCGTGTTGCTAACAGCCCTATGCCGTTAAAAACAACACTACCGCCACTGAATCTTCAGAGCTTGGAGCTCTATGTTCCACTCAGAAAGAAAAACGGTGAAAGGTGGTTCCTTTAAGATATCTCAGATTTTTAGGAAACATTCGAAACAGGAAGGAAGTTTAAGGAGCTAATTAAAAGCTGGTGTATTATAAATCCTAAATGAGGTATAGTCTGGTACTGAATGTTAGTTGATAGAAAGATCTAGATTTTTAAATAAAGTTGAACCATTACGTCATAGCCACTGACCACACTTAGCCACTCACTATAATTAACGCTGGGTTCACTACATATGCTTGCAGGAGAGGCAGCAGTTTGCAAAGCGATGCAGATTATCGTAAATTTTGTTCTTGCTAGTCCTCATTTTTTGCTCTCCTTCCTATTGTTTACCACAGGTCTTCCAGTTTCTACGGTTTTGCGACTCTATGTACAAGGATTCACGGACAGTAAAAGGTTTTCAACGAGGATACCTCGTGGAGTCGTCGCTGGTTTATGAGAAATTAGCAAATTATTATGCCAAAAAGGTAAGTTTCATTAATTTATATTCTAAATTAATGGCAAAACCTGCGATTGGTCCAAATTTTAAAAGCAATGAGATAAATCGTATAGCTGTAACGCTATCATATTTTTTGTTTACATTGACTTTGGTTTTGATTTGAGACACGCCAAGTAAGAAATAATAAATGAGAAATTCTGTAGTCAATTAGTTGTATATTTGGGATGAGAATGCTAAAAAATTTACCTAAACTACGTGACATTCAAAAGCTTTATTCATGTGATCAACTTCTAAGTGTAAATTTTGATCTGGATAACTTACAATTCGTTCACGATTACACCTCATGGTTATATATATATGTATATATATGCGGTTGTAATAAGGTTTATCTAATATGGTGTTGACTGACCGGTTTCAAGTGCGGCGGTTACAGTTGCCACATTCCATGGGGAGACACAAAATAAGAAAACGAAAAGAGAAAAGGATTCGAAAGGACTATAGTAAGTAGAGATTATGGGCAGAAAGAACATTAACATGGAAAAAACAATAGAGTTTTATTGGATGTTGCAGATCAAAAGATCTAATTCATCTGTGCGATTGAGGATGACTTTAAGCCATATCACTAATTGTCTCCAGACACTGATTCTTAGCATCACGACGACCCCAACCAGGCAGTTTACACCTCCCTCTGGTTCAAACTAACTGTCAAAGATTTCATGAACAGCTGCTAGGTTTTAGTCCGATCACTCATAACTGGTCCATAGTAATCTGATATCAGCTAACATTTGTCTAACCATCTCTATCGGTATAGCTACACAACCTCATCGATTGACTTTCCCTCTTCACCTAACGCTCTATCGAGGCATAACCTCAAAATTACTCATCCTACTATTCCACCTAAAATGGGAGATAGAACACACGCCTATGATGAAAGACAACTAGACTTTTCATGTTTTCCACTTCCAATGGCCATGTTCACAGATATAAAGAAAGATGGAGTGAACATCTGAGCAGTACACAGATCGTTTGGTCGGCAGATGGATATCACACCTACGCCAGAGATGGTGTAAGTTGGCGAATGCCACGCCGCCTTTTTTATCCGTACCGGGATTTCGTCTGCAATCAGTTCGTTGGGACTGATGCAACTTCCGAAATAAGTAAAGTGGTCAACACACTCTACCACTTAACTGTGTATCTCTAGGCTAGGAGTCGATGTGGTTGAGACCTGTAGCATCATCTTACGCTTGACAGGAGTGAATCGCATGCCAAATATTTGAAGATTTTTGCTTAGGTCTTTCAGAAGACTTTGTATTTTTATCAGTATCTTCACCCAGGCGGACTGTACCGTCCTCACGTTCCATGTCAAAAAGACTGTTCCGTGGTGAGAAGTTGGTCTCTAAGTCTCTGGAGTCAATTATGGTTGATTCCGTTAGTACATCAATGATGAAATTAAACAGAAAAGGAGACAGTAGACATTCTTGACGGATACCGCTTGTATTAGCTCTCTGTTGTGTACATTAGTGAAATATATCTCCGAAACTAGCCTCTTAATGATCAACGTAAAAATTCGTTCCTTAATATTGTGGTTGTGTCAAAGAGTTTACTTTTGATTTTATCTATAATTTAACAGATAGAAAAAATAATTTACCGGAAAAGTCTAGAAATCCTCAAGCCAAAATGAGATAAAATGACAACCGAAGGAAAACAGATTAATGAAACTTAGTTTGAGGCACAGGTGTTTTTACGCACTGGACTATAAGCCATGATTGGTAAGCTAAATATGGTGATACCAGTCAACTTTCTGTGTGTAAGTAGATATTGTGTGTTTCCATACCGAATTGCAGGAAACCGGTAAAAACTAGGTCAATTGGACACTTGAGAAAATAAGAGACAATTTTCAAAATACTTAGATTTACTAAAAAAGTTTTAATTTATTGGTCTAAGGTAGAAATCACTCGTTACTAACTGCAAGTATACGTGTTACATAAGCATCATACCATCGGATGTTTAGATAATAATTGTTTTAAGATTCAGCTTCTGCACTGTCGTTTGCAATGCTATTCAGCTGATGCGTTTTGTAATGTAAAATTATGCTTTTTATGAGAGTGCTTGTAGTTTGTAGTGATATAGTCAATTAGGTAAACCATCTGTAACTAGTATATTTTTTTGTTCAGCGAAGAAATTTCTTTTCAACGACTTCATTTTCAAGCTGTACAGTCGTATTTATATTACAGAAAAAGGTTATTAAGTGGCACTAGATAATTGCTCAGTCAATATACATATATACAAGTGATAAGAATAACGATAATTAAAATGTTACAAGGCGTAGAGTTGAAGTGGATAAATTACAGAATTATTAAAGATTGTTTCATAAGTGGATTGGTGTCCACATCTATGCATTTACTCTTTTACCTGCTCTTGTGGAGCTGATTATATTGGACGTTGTAAGCGTAATCTCCGAAAACGTGTAGCTGGACACTATCCGGTTTGTTAATGAAAGGCGAACGAAGAACTGCGAAATCATCTATTTGTGATCACCTGTTAGAGTCTGGTCATTTAGCCCCACGTGATTCATCTTTCAAAGTTATCTACATGGCAAAATCGAATCGATCCAAAAGTTTATGTTTTCTTCACTTATGCATAGCCAAAGCTTGAGCTATACATGAACAGAAACCTAAACTATGTGTTCAAAAACGTTTTGTCAAACCCCTTTCTTTACCTTGGTCATAGAAATGTTCTTTCTAGTTTTTATTCTATTTTATTTTTTACCACTTGAATTCTTTCCACTTCACTTCACATCTTCATTCTTATCGTAATCGTACTCCTAACTTTATTTTAAATTTTTAGACAACACTTGACATTTTTCAAAACATTTTTGACATCAATCCACTTATAAAACAATCTTTAATAATTCTGTAATTTATACACTTCAACTCTACGCCTTGTAACATTTTAATTATCGTTATTCTTATCACTTGTATATATGTATATTGACTGAGCAATTATCTAGTGCCACTTAATAACCTTTTTCTGTAATATAAATACGACTGTACAGCTTGAAAATGAAGTCGTTGAAAAGAAATTTCTTCGCTGAACAAAAAACTGCTTTTACTTATGAATAAGTGGGTATTTTTCGTGAATTAATATATTCCTTTTGCGGCATCGGTGTTTTCAATTTTCTGTCAAAATCCGTTCATATCATATAATTGATATGATTATGAACAATAAATTGTGTTCAAAATGTCATCTAGTAACATTGATATAAGAATAAAACTTGTGCACTGTGGTAGAGTATAATTCCATCATATCAAGGTGATATGATTATGAGCAATAAATTGTGCTCGAAACGTCATCAGTAAACATTACTGTATAACACTGAGAGACTTTATCAAAATAAAAATTTATCCATAGTGTCATCTAGTAAATAATACTGTTTAACAGTGTGATATATCTAATAAACAAATTAATATAAAATCTTTTCTAATCACTAATGTAAGAATAGAACTTGTGCACTGTAGTAAAGTATGATTCCATTGTAGAGAAATTTTGATTTTGATTAAGTCTCATGGTGTTATGCAGTAATATTTACTGATGACATTCCGAACACAATTGATTGCTCATAATCATATCAAGGTACTCGCACAACATTCTGACTTTGTTTATATAGATGAGGAAAGACTGATTAGACATATGAAAGAATAAATAAAATCGATGTGAAGTTAAATAGACATGTGTGAAACAGAAAGGGGAATAGAGTAAATTCAGAAATAGTATTAGTTTCCAAGAAAATATAATACGATAGGAAATAAGACGATTGTTAGTCAATAAGATAGGGAATAAGATGTTTTGTCAGTAAAATAAAATGAATAACGCTAGAATGGGATAACGTAAATTAAAATAAAACGAATTCTAAAATTCTTATCCCTCGATAGTAGTAATATCTCCAACATCTCTGGTATTTGTGCTGAGTCATTTTCACTTCATTTGTTGGGTCTAGATTCGACAAACAAAGGTTCAGTAATTAACCTCCCTTCCCACCTATGTATATTACTTTTTAGAATTTTATCTCCCACCCTATTGTATGGTTGTATATTAATGCATGCAATGCACTTGCTGAGTTTTTTCTAAATTACTTATTTTCGCGAGGTCAGTCATTCTACACTTAACCAAATTGCTATCTTCTGACTATCCCCAACCAACTGGTTTGACATATCTAGTTGACTTAGCTCTCAGTCACTGCAAGGTACTCAGCAAATTATTTTATTTTGTCTAATTAGGTTAACAGGGTCCTTTAACCGACATAATTTGTCCCTGAGTGAGCTTTTAAATCTAAATGCCACCCTAATTCCTGCAGGGTCTAATCAATTTTTTACCCATGTATATAAACGAAGTCATAAAGTTGTGTGAGTACCTTGATATGATTATGAGCAATAAATTGTGCTCGAAACGTCATCAGTAAATTTTTACTGTATAACACTGTGAGTTCTAATCCTTGTCGTTGGTGCTACTCTAAAAAAATAAATGGTGATATTGTAATCTCGAAACGGTATAAATGCTCTTTTTAACTAAAAGTTTATGACTTTAATCATGGGCTTACTTACAGTTTACACTTGAGATATGAAATTGTCATTTATCTCTTTAGTTGCATGAGATGTGCACTATTTCAAAAGTATATCATAAAGAATCACTGATCGAAAGGATTTTCATTTAGCAACACGTTCAACATCTAGATATGATAGAGAAGATTTGTAGCTCAGGTGGATAATTTTGATGTGGTTTTGTTCTCTGAGCTGGATAGTTAGTTTGCGAAGCTTTCATCACCTTACTGGGTGACATCTTCAGCGCATACTTCAATTTGACGTTCAACATCCTCAGATTATGTTTAATGTTTCACATTTGAAATACTGATATTTTGAAATAACGGAGACACGTAGGTCATGTTGATGGTTTCGGTGTCTTTTGCTTTCTGTGGAGATGTGATTTATTGGCTTATACACTTGACTTCCAATCAGTGGGACTGGGGATCGAATCTCGCTCTACCTATTTCAGCCTGGGCAATCGCGTTGTACCATCACCCGACCGAAAGCTGCTACCTTGACGTGGTGGTCGGGCTTGAACACCGCAATGACCTAATCAAGCTATACTGGCTGAGACTTATGTCTCTTGAGGTTCTACCATGCCAGGCAGGTTGTTTGGATAGCGGTTAAACAAAAAGCAGCTACCCAATCCAACATCATGTCCAATACAAAATTACAAAATTTCATGCCGGATCGGCCGTGGCCCGGATTAACAACGACCGCGCTTCCTGCTGCCGTGTCACAGGGCGGGAGTGATAAATCTGCTACTGAGACACACCAAACAAAAAAGAACAAACAAAAACAGGCCGCGTGTGACCGGCCTCAAGCAGTTGTCCCCTGGGCTCTGCGGTCACGCAACCAACTTCCACGGTGTGGGCAGCCGGGAAGTAACAATCGCCCTCACAATCCGAAATGCACACGAAACCTCTCTATTACTCACTCATCTTTGTCTTCATCTTCATCTCTATCATCTTGCCTTCCTTCCACTGATGCAACTCCTCGACTTGATAGCTCTCCACTTCCTCTCCACTCTGCGTCCACTAAAAACGATGGAAGCCAAAAAACCACCACCGACAGCCTCTTAAAGCCGCGCCACCAATTTCATATAGGAGCTCTTAATGTTAGGACACTTTGCCAAATAGGACAACAAGCATCACTAGCCAAGACCCTGGCATCACGAGCCATTGATGTATGCTGTGTTTCAGAAACACGCATACAAGACCCAAGTGTGGTTATTCACCTAACCCCACCTGGCCAACAGGTTGAATCTGCAAAATTCACCCTGAGGGTGTCAGGAGATGCCACAGCTAGTTCACGAGGATTAGCTGGCGTAGGGATAGCTTTGAGTACTAGGGCAGAAAAGACATTGCTTGACTGGATCCCGGTAGATAGCCGAATGTGTGCTGTCCGCCTGAACGGATCAGTAAGAAGGAGAAAGGACTGCACTACTCGCCGATGCCTTTTCGTAATCTCCGCCTACGCCCCCACTGACTGCAGTTCAGATGAAACGAAGGATGAGTTCTACCAAAAGCTGTCTAGTTTGGTGGAAAGGCTAAACGCTCAGACATAGTCGTTCTAGCTGGTGACTTTAACGCTCAAGTAGGGAAATTGTGTCAATCTGAGAAGGATGTCGGTGGCACCTATGGAGCTCCGTGCCAGCGAACCGACAACGGTGACCGTCTCCTACAGTTCTGCTCTGATAATCATTTGTTTCTTGTAAGCACTAACTTTAAACACAAGGAGAGACACTGTTTGACTTGGAGACCCCCTTCATCAAACCAACGCTGGACACAAATAGACCACATAGCAATAAGCTATCGTTGGCGTGGGTCGGTAGGAGATTGTCGCTCCTTCTGGAACACGTGCGTAGATACCGACCATGCACTGGTCCGCGCTCGGGTGTGCTTACGACTGAACGGACGTAGGAAACAGCTGGCGGTAAAACCATCACGTCCCCAGCTCGATCAGGAAACTAAATCCGTATTTCAGGAAGAACTAGCTAAACACATATCTGTGTTCGACAGCTGTGCTCACCCTGAAGAAGCTTGGAAAAATATCCAGGCAGCCATAGATACAGCTGTAAAAGCTGTGAATAAGGTAAACCCAAAGGTGAGTAAAAACCACTGGATCTCCACCGCCTCATCCGAACTGATAGATGCTAGAAGACTTATTCCGGCGAGCTCCGAATTCAATGAGGAGCGAAAGCTGCACAAGAGGAAACTTACGAAAAGTCTCCGCAAGGACCGTGAACAGTGGTGGGCGACAAAAGCCAAAGAGATGGAGAAAGCTTTGAGGATAGGCAACACCAGGCAACTCTTTGGACTCATCAGGGAAACGGGTGGGAGAAGACAAATCATTAGTGAGACAATCTCGGAAAAAAATGGCACTATAATTAGCTCACAGGATAGACGACTGGATCGTTGGAAAGAGCATTATGAGGAGCAGTTTAATTTGCCCACAGCCACGCTCAACCTTCCGAGCATCCAACACCTCCCTGAATGGGATATAGATACAGGTCCTCCGTCACTAACTGAGGTTACTAAAGCTGTCACCAATCTGAAACTAGGCAAAGCAGCGGGACCTGATGGAATGACTCCAGAGGTATTTAAGTACGGTGGAGACAGCTTACTGTCCGGATTAACTGAGGTACTAGGCAGCGTCTGGGAATCAGAAGAAGTCCCATCGGGTTGGTGTAAGTCACTGATTATCCCCATATACAAGAAGGGAGACAAGTCTTCCTGTGATAATCACAGAGGGATTAGCTTGACTAATATAGTATCTAAAGTCTTAGGCTCAATAATCATGCGTAGACTGAGTGGTGCTCGGGAAGCACAAACACGAGAGAGCCAGGCAGGCTTTAGACCAGGAAGAGGGTGTATTGATCATATCTTCACCCTCCGACAGATTCTAGAACATAGGCATTCCTACCGGCGTCCAACAGTCATTATATTTCTTGACCTAAAGGCAGCATTCGACTCTGTCGATCGGGAAGTTCTCTGGAGATGCTTGGCTGTAAAGGGAATTCCGAGAAAATATATTGCACTGATTAAGGCACTCTATTCGTACTCATACAGCCAGGTGAGGGCTTACGGCGAGCTGTCATCTGAACTGATGACGACCAGTGGTGTCCGTCAAGGATGCCCATTATCTCCTTTTCTATTCAACTTCATCATAGATGTGTTAATGGACTTAACCCTAGGTGACTTCAGCGACTCAGGGATTGACTTGCTACCGGGGAATAATCTCGTTGACTTGGAATATGCAGACGATATAGTCCTTCTAGGCGAAGACGCTGACGAAATGCAGAGTCTTCTAAACACCTTGAGCCGCAATCTACGAATGTTTGGCATGCGATTCGCTCCCGCCAAATGCAAGATGATGTTACAGGACTGGACTACATCGACGCCTAGTTTAAAAATAGGAAGTGAAGTGGTAGAGCACGTTGACCGCTTCACTTATTTGGGAAGTACCATCAGCCCCAACGGGTTGATCTCTGACGAAATCTCAGCACGAATACAAGGGGCTCGTTTCGCATTTGTTAGTTTACGCCGACTCTGGCGTAGACGAGATGTTCGACTATCGACCAAAGGGCGGGTGTACTGCTCATCAGTCCGCTCCGTCCTCCTTTATGGTTGTGAGACCTGGTCACTGAGAGTGGAAGACATGAAAAGACTAGCTGTCTTTGATCATAGGTGCCTGCGCTCTATTTCCCGTGTAAAGTGGCATAATAAGGTGAGCAACATTGAGGTTAGGCGTAGAGTTCTAGGTAAACAGGGGAAATCAATCGACGAAGTCGTGAAGCTACAAAGACTGAGATGGTTAGGACATGTGTTACGTATGCCAAGCCATCGCCTCCCTCGACGAGCAATGTTAGCGGATATAGGGTCAGGCTGGAAAAAAGCTAGCGGCGGTCAAACAAAAACATGGCTTCAGTCAATGAAATCCACAACAGTTGGTCTAAGCCACGTAGGAGGGTGTAGACTTCCAGGCTGGGGTCCTCGGGACGGTAAAAATCTATGGTTGGAAACAATTGGTGACATGGCTCAAAACCGTTCTCAGTGGCGCAGATGCATCCACTCCTTGTGACTTATGATCTTCAATGAAACTGTTTTGTATTCCTTTATTACTCCTTTGTCTCACACCTCTGCTCACTGTTTCTATTATGCTTTTCTTGTACTTTCTTCTCTTGCTTCGCGTGCTACACGGAATGTGGCGACTTGAACTTCCGCACATTTGTGCAAAGTTCTATGTCGAAAACAGACAGACAGACAGTTGTACCATCAGCCTACATATAATAATTATGGCTCACAGTCTGGCTCTGGGTAACCAGTTTCTAACTAGTTTTGTGTTCTCTGAGCTGAATGGGTTAGTTGTGGAGCTTTCACTATTTTTCCTGACAATATCCTCAGCGCTAACTTCAAAATGAGGTGGCATTGACTGAGATTGGTTATTGATCATCGCATCAACCTGATAGTTGACCTTTTGATGCTGTGCCTTATTCTGTACTGATTGATAAGTTTGATCTATACCAACTTGTTTGTCAATTACAAACCGATTTGAGTACCAGGCTTCTAGAAATTCTCCGGCATTCATTGTGTTCCCTCTGTTTAAGTCGTATGTGTTTCCAGTCAGATTGTTCATCATAATCATTATGAAAGAAGGTGAATGCAGTGACTGAGAACTCCAACCAACCAATTGCAGTCAACGTCATCAAGGAAGATGGCTAAACCCTATTCACGGAGAATGCCGGAAGCTCACTTCTTTATGAAATGAGCACTGATGATATCGTCTAGAAAAGCAGTAAGTGCTTCAGAGCTAGACCACCCAACTCAGAGAACACAACAGCACCAATACTGGTAGAAATTGTAGACGTTGTACACATAATATTAGAATTTAATGTAACTGTATTAATAGATCGTAACTGCCTTTGGGACATCTGTATTCTAATGTAAGTATACACTTAGACTTATTAGAATATATTTTCTGTAATATCTTAAATGAAGTTATATTTCCATGTGATAAACTTTGATTCATGAATCCTCAGTAATACTCATGATGTAGCGTAAAGCCAGTTTAGCATTTTCCAAAGGACGACAGGACAAAGTTATACAGTTAGTTCTACTATTTTCAGTTTTTATTTCTTTTATTTCTAGGCTGACTGGAATGGATACATACGATTACTTGAACGAACAAAACGAGAGAGTATGTTACCCTCGCGAAACATGTATTTTTATGGATTTGAATGCTTGGGTAAGCTTTTGAACAAAGGCGATTCTCATCCTACACGAAACTATATCCAACATATCTCAAAAGTTATGGTAAATCGTATGAGCTCCAAATCTGTAATACTCTTGGAAGAAATCGAACATCAGATAAAAAGTCTGATAGATGCAGCTGAAAGAGAGGTAAATAGCCTATTTTTTTTATAACTGCTAACTTCAGTTAGCTTATTTTAGCTACAATGATCGTCAAGTGATGAGCAAATTTGAGTAGTTGTCACATACGACTAAGTCATTATACACATAAACATAGTAATCTGGTGTAATCTGTACATCCAATACTACTCTCAAAGTCTGGGCTACAAGTAGTTGTTCATAAGCATACAATGTACTTTCCTCTCTCCACCGCAACATTTACACGAAGCGCTTGTTTCACACAGAAATTATTTTAGAACACGATAATGTTTTGATTAATGAACAGTAGTCAATTCGTCAAACAAACAAGTTTTACCATCAAAGGAGTTGTACACTGCTTAGCATTTCGCTTCATCTTACCCTTTGGTTGGGAAATATGTTTACTGGAATTAGAAAATTTTAATAGCTTGCAAGGTTTCGAAGATAAATGTCTCTTTGAAAGTGTGCCGCTAGATAAGATAAGTAGGTCAGTCGATTAGATGAAATAAAAACAACTACTGAATTTGGCCAGGAGAATATCAGTAGTAGTGACATAAATACGGACCAGACGCTTCAGTGTTAGCAACACTAAAAGGATCTATCAGTGGCGAAATGTCAAACATCACATAATTCAGACCAACTAAGAATTTCTAGTGTTGCAATCTATCAGTCTAAGAAGATGAATCTTCTGGAATAGCAATCAAGGCTTGACAGTAGGAGGAACCACAATCAAACCATGGGATATGAATCCAATCAGATCAAATCAATTAAAAGTTAGGGTGTCTGGTTTGGGCAATCAAAATAAACAATTTAGGTGTAGCTGTTTTCAATGACAGTCAACCAACTTGTAGTCAAGCAGATAATATTTAGCCTCAAATTAGATTCATAGGGATAAGAAAAAATTGATTTTACTTCACGGGGTCTTTATCAGTTGAGTACAACTCAGATAAATAGCTCACTTTGAGTAGTTTTCTGATGCACTCTGAAATTGTTGCACAGTGACATATATATATATATATATATAAAGTTATAAAAATTGGATAATCCAGTGATATATCTATACTTGACGCTGTGCACAATTTAGCTGTTTTTGAAGGGAATTCTCTGGAAATCGTTTCACATAACTTTTGTAGCTAAATCCACCTACATGTGAAAAGCCATAGGTCAGTTTTAAGTGAAAGTTCTTCCGGTTCACATACCCATCTAGTGATAGGTAAAATTCATTATTCATTGGATGGTAAATATCCTCAGCTCATAACTTGACAGCCCTAGATCCGACTACCGGTGGCGTTATGGTTGCACACTCCTGGAATTTCCCAAACTGCGACAAAACAGGCATCATATCCTCTCTGGTTATCAGTGGTTTTCCAACTGATCTCAATTCGTGATGAAAGTTACGTTGGAGTAGACTCTTGTTTGTAAACATAGGTTTTGTGGGGTGGGGGTGGGGGCTAAAATGGCAAAAAATTTGTGTCCATTCAACTATTCCACCAAATGTTTTTCATTTACAGTCTCGGTCACCAGCTGACATCAGTTAGAGAACTTTTAGAAAACTAGGGAGTACTAGACAACTGATTCTTCCCAGTTTGGGACTCTTCAACAGCATTCACCCACCGGGGTTTGAAACCCATGTACTAACGAAGAGTCCCAAATCAGGACAAAATAGCTGTGCAATACTACCTGGTTTCCTAATGGGTTCTCTAACTGATGTCGTTTTGTGATCAAACTTGTAGCCAATCAAATCCTTGTAAATCAGCAATTGGTAATATTTTTGATTTGTCTTTCTACCAACTGTATCTGTAGTTATTTCTACCAAATTTACACAGCAATGAAATTTCGATTTATTTACACTTATATATGTAATTATTACTTATTTTATCAGATCCTTTTACCCATATTTTTGTTCTACAAAAACACAAAAGGGACATGATCTAACTCAGGGCTTATTGGATTTACCTCTTGAAGAGGGAACGTTAAGAAATATTCTCACTGCTTTACTTCACGTTCGACCGGATTTCAAACCAAATCTGAATTACTTTAGTCATTACTCATCCAGTGATATGTCAACAGATGTTAGACATCTTAAAGAAGTATCATATCCAGCTCAAAAGCATTTAGATAATGTGAATGTAAGTTTTATTTTATTCATTAATTGGAGGGTATCTTAATGATATATAGTTTTCTGCTTCATCACCTCGTATATTATATTATAATAATTATTATTAAAACAGAAACTTGGTATATTACGAGCACCAGGAGATGCATCACACAATATGGCATAGTTTGTGCGACCGCAGGGATGCTTTCCGAACGCCCAGACCGAAGCGGATTGTTGTCTTAAGGCACCATCTCCCAAGGAGTTCACTAAAGGTCTGGTCCACATGGCAGTGCAGGTGTGTTTCCAACGTTACTGACGATCAAGACAAACTTATACGCCATTCTATCCGTTCGAATTCTGGAGCCTGTGTACATCATACGTTTGAAATCAGGTAGACCAGTATGTCCAATAGTCCGCTTGTTAAGCGCTCGACGTTCTCATTATCCCGTTCACATTTTTGAAAGACACCCTCGCCTCTCGAAGGCAGTAAATAGGACTTATCTGGAAGGAGCTACGAACGGGTGATTACGCGAGAGCACTTCGATAGAAAGGCCAAAGTCTTCCCACTCTCGGTCTTATCAGGTCGTTTATGAGGGCAATTAGAATAGCCACTTCTACCGTAAACCTTTTTTCTACAACCCATGTAAGAACTTGCAAGTAGAATTCTTTCTTCCGGTTAGAACGTATTTTTCCTTGATAAATCTACACACGCAGGTAGAAGTTATGGATGAATACATTGAAGTCAAGGCATGTGGACGGAGTTGTTATATCGTCGGGACTGGCGTGTTAAAAGTCGAATGCTTAATCTCATCAACTAAATATTGAGTGGCTTACGACTCTTATTTTAGCTAGGACCAATTCACTTTACGTTTATTGAGTAACCCTCATTAAGAAATGAAATACAGATAATTATAAGTCTCTGTCTGATGATTTCATAGTCTCGGCTATGCATAATTGGCTGCTTAATCTTTAAGCAAAATTAACCCTAACTTTATCAAATTACTTAATATGATTCTCACTTATATAGTAAATCAAATTCAGGACTGTTTTTGCTTTGTAGACAAAAATACTAATAAAGTAACTGTGGCTTACAGAACGAAACATTCCTGGAAAGCCTTACTTTGATTTTTTAGGCACACTAAAGTCATATTAAATAATTATGTAATGATTCAATCGAACTCTTAACACATGGTCTGGATATTTACTTTTACGTATTGGCTCTTGTCTACTTTACTTTCAATCAAATTTTCCATTGTCTACGAGCTCGCCTTGTAACCAGAAGATCCTGGGTTCGAACCCCGGGGTCTGCGTACTGATGAAGAGTCACAGACTAGGACCACGAAAACAGCTATCCAGTACTTCTAGGTTTCCTAGTGGTCCTCTCACCAACGTCATCTTATAATGAAATCCTCCAATCAATCAAACAAAATTTCCTACAAAATCAATACTCGAAAATTCTCGATTTGTAATATACATAATTCGAAGGGAATACGAATGGTTAGAACTGATTCGGCTCTCTAATGATGAGTTAGACCGGGTGCGCCGCTGTCGAAGCCAGCAAAATACGAACAAAACGTCTGTATGGTGTTTAGATCACTTCGATCAGGCTTGCAAGCAATATTGGTTGATGTAAGTGGTATGCAACTGCCCATATCAATCAAACAAGTGGTATGTAGCGTCACTATTTTCTCAACCCTCAACAGTTACATTCACTGTCAAAATACCTGCAAGGTGAAAAGTTTGCTTTTGTACAGCTATGAAAGTGATATAATTGCGAAAAGGATTTTCACCATTAAAATATGACTTTTGTTAACCGTTTAACAGGAGAAATTCAGACAATCATCCTAGCTATCTTATAATTCTCAATTTTCATAACTTCCCATTAATAACCTAATTGCTTCGTATCTTGAAAATTTTCATTTTGCTGTTGGAATTGTTTTTGGAAATACACAAACTAACATACTCCTGTTAAGCTCCTGGGTTCGAATCCCGGTGGGTGCGTACTGCTGAAGAGTTCCAAACTAGGACGAAACAGCTGTCCGGTACTCCCAGGTTTTCCAATGGTTCTCTAACTAATGTCAGCTCATGATGAAATCCTGAAACCAATCAAATCCCTACAAATCATCACTTGAATAAGAAATTTTTACTTATGTCCTTTTAACTTGACCTAAGTCTATTTTTCTCACCTCTTACCTCTTTATTAATTTTTACTTAGTTTTTACCTTCTCTATTAAGCTTGTAAGCAATCGTATTTGTAAATCATAAAAGTTCATTTCGTTGTTGAAATGTATACTTTCTCAAGTTAAAAATTCTTTTAGTTAATCCCTTGTAGGCAGTATTGAAAGCAATTCTTCCTAATATTGGTGTGTACTGAGTCAAAGATCCATCTGTAGGTTCATTCAGATTATTGTTCAACAAATTTTTCCAATTAAATCTTAATTCTATTGCAAAGAATATTTTGTAAAATATAATAGTGTTTTTCCCCTCTGCTCTATAGCACGAATGTTGTAATCCCTATGCTGGCATCTTCAGAAATTCCGATGATATTACAAAAGCATTCGAAGATCAAATACGTGTTGAAAGAATGACCGAAGTACCCGTTTTACCTGTTCTTTCTCCATTTGGTCAATCAGAAACTACGTCTTTACCAAAAGAGCTAAAAAAGAACCTAGTAAGTTGTTGTTGCTTATATAATTGCGTCGATAGTCCAATGGTAGAGTGCCTGCCAACCACACACTTGGTTCGGGGTTCGAGTTACAGCTAACACACACACACACGCTCCTTAACCTTGCCTGGCTGGTAGTAAACTCGGCAAAGAGGAAAGCTTAAATGTGAGCTTAGCAACCTTAGCCCGTAAAAGCAATAGCATAACTTCTTAAACTCCAAGGCACATGCTTGAAGCCCTATGTTCCACTTGGGACGAACAGAAATGGAAAGAGATATTTCCTCCATAAGGATATAAATAATTCGTGTAGAATAACTTCAAGATGTATATTTAAGTTTTGCAGAATGACAGAATTCTAAACATTAGAAGGTTTCATTCTCAATAGGTTTCACTGTTTGTTTTTTAAAGTAAATTTTGCAAAATTTTAGTTAGTTTTGTCATGAACGAAGAAGTATGATGTTAATCATAAATTGAATTCATTGTCAAATTTGTTTTTTGTCGTTGACATATTTTAAGTTCAAGCCTTTGTATGGAAAATATGAAATTATTGTATTCACCCACTAGTGCATTTTATTTGTCTTAATACAAAAAAAGAATATTTCCTTCTCCTTTCCGATAAAATCTTAAGTGTATTTAGGAATTCCAGCATGAAAACCGGTTAGTGTTTAAGTGTTCTTTGTGTCTGATAAACGGTTGTTTCACCACTTGCATGTAATGTTGCCACAATGGGAGCTTTAGGAAACTTTGTCCTATGTAAGTTAACATAGGAAGTCATTCGATGAGTTTGTTAGGCCAGTATCCACTAATTTCTAGAGTATGTCACTCATCTTTTTTAACCCTCTCTTAGCTCTTTATATGTTTTTTTGATGGAGTTTCACATTGCATAAAATTTAAAGAATTTATGCATACTGCAATATAAGTTGGAGACCAGGAGAATTGATTTTGGTAGGGTCTCCGCCTTTACACCTCATTATAAATTCGTTCCTAGTTCAGTCTTATATCTTTTTGTTCCTGTTTTCTATTCTGTGCGTCGGTGGCATAGTGGTTAGGACGCTCGCCGACCATGCACATGGTCCGGGGTTCGATCCTCTACTGACGCACACCTGATATCTATGGTTGGCCTGCAAAATTTGGGCTACCGATATCACATGCTGAAAATTCCATACTTGTACCGAAAATACGGTGTGGCATCAAGCTGTAAAAAAATAAAAACTAAAATAAAAATTCTATAGCAGTTGCTACTTATCCTTATAATCACTCAAGAAAGGTGAGAATCAAATAGTAGGCGGGAGAAATCAAATGCGGTTATCCCTTTGCACTGTTAACTCATTTATTTGTTAAGTGTTACTCATTTCCTGTTTTGAAGGTATTAAATCAATGTTTTAACATATATATTCATTAGAATCTCTTATTTATGTATACATTTAACCATTCTTCTAGTCCATTTGACTTAGTGTTTTATACTAATATTTTTTTAAATTGAAGACTGTCCCTATATTTGTGAATTTGGTTTATTTCTTTTCAGCATACTGCACTGATCAAAGAACAAAATCATTGGCGTAATGCTTTATTAATTGCATTTAATGAACAACTGAAAAGGCTTAAGCTTTCACATGCAAGTAAGCATTATATATATATATATATATATATATATATATATATAATAAGGGTGTGTTTTAAACAGGCCCTTTCCTGTTATATTTTATCTAATAGAAGAAAAATCTCTCAAAAACGAATGAAACGTATTCGACACTAGTAACTAGTGTGATGCCTCTAGTCCTCTGATTGGTGTAGACTGAATTCTATCAGTCAAGTTGTAATGTGACCACCATTCTAGCTAGCTCGCCATCATCGGGCTCACCAATCGGAGGACTAAACGCATCACACTAGTTACTAGTGTCGAATATCCACTACAGTCCTACAGGAGGTCAATCGCGAACCCAAATAGCTCAGTGGTAACGCCTCTGACTGCAGCACTGGGTGACGCAGGTTCGAATCTCAGAAGGGACATGAGTTTCTTCAAGGTTGCGGATACACCTTGCTGATGAGTGCCAACTAGCACGAAACCTAGGTTCAAGGTTTCCTGCCGATTGCCTCCAACCATCTATTACCATCAAACTAATGAAACGTACTATTAGGTAATATAAGACGTCACAGAAAGCTACTCATACTAATATCTTACTCACACAGAAGCTAACATGATACATTTCTCAAAATGCTTATCAACAGGAAATAATTAAAATGATAAATAATAATGATAATAATACCTTTATTCTGGACAGGGCTTTTATAAAGTACAGAATTTTCAGTGAAGCTTATTGCCTGATATTTTCTCTTCAAATTAAAAATATCAATTGACAGTGAGTCGCGTGACTTATGACTGTATAACTTGAAGTGCGAACCAATCCATTATGGTATTTCTTCTTTGTTTCCTTCGAGTAATGCACAACATTTGGTGAAAAGCCAATTATAGAAAGTACAAGAGTACATTTCATTTTGAGACCCATGGACATAATTCACACACAGCTACCTCATATATTGGGATACATTGCCACCTGTGATTATGCCTTTCCCTAAGTTTAGTAGAAATTAGCAAATATTTCAAATGCGCGCGACAGAAAACAGTACCATTAGAGGTTTTGTTTCAGTAGATTAAAACAAAATGGACGAAAGAAATTATATACAGTAAAATGATGGAGGTTTTTTGTTAGCCCAAGTTTTAAGCAGTCCGCCATTAAAATAATGGAAAGATAACAATGTTTTGTACACCTCTTTCCTTTTCCAATCGAAATGATTTATTCGCTTTTTGTGAACCATCTGCGTGACTGCCTAAAATTTATACACAAAGCAACATGAAAGGATAGATGATAACCCTCTAATTTTTTATTGAAGTTATCTGATATTGTAAATATCCAGACTGTAGTTGTTATTTTCACCAGAGTGAATGCTTATGAAATTATTTAAAATTAATTCCAATGTTGATATTATCTTAAGTAGTTTAATACTTTAGTTAAAATTAAACTCATTTGTTGCCTAGTGATCGATATATCTCCAGTAACGACCTTTTTATGAACTCTTTTACAGAAGGAAAATTAACGGCCTATCCTTTCCTGAAAATTTTACCTGCGTCGAACTATGTTGATCTGATGATTACAGTGAGTGATTTTCCACACATTTTTTTCTACGTTTATGCATTCACTAGATTTGTAACACTGATTTCATTAATTGAGTAAACTCCTAACTACTGTTAGCTTAATGAGTGATTAACAAAATAGAATTGGTTATTTCCCGGTATCTCAGTCTGTTACTTACAATGGCGGAAATCCCTACCTATACTTTACTGAAGACTAGACTGTGTTAAGAGCTTTTAAAATGACAGTACAGGTGTTATAAACATGTGTTTCACTGTATCCTAATTGCGACAGATTTTTCTGTTTGGCTAATGTTTTTTCCTGTGGATTTGATCTATTTGCATGAGAGACGTTTTGCTCAACTAAATCGTAAATACAAAAATGTCTAATATATATATATATATATATATATATATATATATATATATATATATATATATATATATATATATATATATATATATATATATAAATTTTCATTCATATCCTCCCGTTTCAATTACAAGAGATATATTGTTTCCCTTAAATTCTTGAGTAATTCTCCTGAAATGGAAAGCCAAATTTTATATTTTTCCATTTCCTTCAAACATTCCGCACAAATTAGACGTGGCAATAAATCAGACAGTTTAGCCTATCTTATATTTTATGCGGGGATCCATTACTAACTTAGATTTTTTGAATTTCGTACAAACGACGAAGTCATTTTGAAAACTTGCACTTTACGAAGTTTTCTAATGCATTATTATGTAGTCCAGTTTCTTAAAATGTTAACAAAGACTACCCCCAATCTGAAATGAGGAAAGCAGCAGAATCTGACGGAATGACTCCAATGGTGTTTAAAGGCGATAGGGGAAAACCGTTATCTGATTTAACTATGGTATTAGATAATGTCTGGGAATCGGAGATAGTTCCGTTAAACCGGTACAAATCATTGATTAGCCTAGTCTTTAAGTGGGGAGATAATTCTTCGAACGGTAATCTTATGGAAGTATCTAGGGTTCTAGGTTCAATAATCGCGAGTAGATTAAGTGGTGCTTGGGATAAATAAACTTGGCGAAACCAGATAGGCTTTAGGTAAAGAAGAGGGTGTATTGATCATATTTTCACTCATCAACAGATTCTGGAACACAAGTATGCTTCCCGACGTCCAACACTTGCCATGTTTCTTGACGCGAAAGCTGCTTTCGACTTCGTTAACCGGGAGGTGTTTGACCCAAGATATTTCTAAATGGTCCAGGTTCATTCCCTCCTTCTGACCTACAATATTCATCAAATACTCTTTTTTTTCATGTTACTTTCCTTTCTCACTCACATTTCTGCTCACCACAGTTATTTCGATTCTCTTTCTCTTCTCTTTCCTCTATCTTTGTGTGCTCCGTGGAGTGCGGCGACTTGACCTTCTACACTTCTGTACAAAGGTCTATGTTGAATCTCGGTCAGTCAACTAATTTTATTCTAACAACCAATGATCCTCATTTTCATATAATAAGGATTATTTACACTTGTATTTTTTCTTTCTATTAGGGCATTGATATGTTGATTGTAGACTCAGCCCTACAGTATACTTCTTCATCATTTGCTTGTCTTCAACTTGGTCGACGTGTGGAACGTGCATGCACAGTATATCGTCAAGAAAAACTGGGATATTTCAAACAGGTAAGTTATAAAGTGGTTTTGCACAAAGAAAAATTTCATAATGTTGTAAAATAAATAATAATAGTAATTGTGATAAGAGGTGAATGTTATACATTTTACGGTGGTCAGCAATTTTATTTAGTTTGTTATTAAAGAGGAAAGAACAAAAGGCGTGACAAAGGTATCTTTTCGGTGATTTCATGCTCATAAGCTGTAAAATCGCTCTGATATGCATAGTTACACTTATTGTTTAATTGAAGGTGATTAAAGGTGATAATAATTTCCCACTTGCTATGAAAGGTGCATGGTGTAAATATACATTTTGAGGGGTTTAGAAATAAAATTACGTAGGATTAAAATAACAGTTGTGTAGCACGTAAAGTAGTTTCTAACGCAGATAGATGTGAACGGCGCTTAAGGACTGACTGACTGATTTCAACGTAGAACTTTGCACAGGTGTGAAGCAGATCAAGTTGCCACTCTCCATCAACGTAGCACACAAAACAAGCGAAGAGAGGGGTTCAAAAGAGAGATATTCGACAGGAATGTTAGGAAAAAGAATAGTAATATGGAAAAACAATATAGTTTTATTGGATATTATGCATCACAAGGAGTGGATGCATCTGTACCACTGACAACGATACGTTTGAGCCGTATCACCACTTGTCTCCAGCCTTCATTGGTTTTTATCATCTCAAGTACCCCAAGCAGGAAGTCAGTCTCCTCCTTCCTACGTGATTGGCCTAAACTAACTATTGTGGATTTCATTGACCGACTTCATGTTTTGGTTTGACTACTCCTAACTCTTTTCCAACGTGATCCTGTGTGAGCTAACACTTCCCGTCTAGGAAGGCGATGGCCACACATGCATGTGTAAAACGTATCAATCGGTGTAACTCCACAACTACGCCTATTGATTTCCCCTCGTAACCTAGCACTGTACGCCTCATCTCCATATTACTTACCCTATTATACCACTTAACACGAAAGATAGAACGCAGACACCTATGATGAAAGACAGCTAGCCAGCCTTTTCATGTCTTCCACTTTCTATGTCCATGTCTCACTCACAGTCATAAAGGAGGACGGAGCGGACTGCTGAACTGTACACATCTAAGGGGAGTTATACATGTTTCTTAGGATTGATTCTAGCAAACTAGGATATCCTTGAACACATTTTTCTAATATCAGTGTATCAGTTCAAGCATCGCTAAAAACAATGAAGCATTAGACACATGTTTCGTCCTGAATTGGTATTCTTCAGTCACTACATTTTGAACAATTTTAACGTGGTTCACATAATTCCTTAATATATTATTATTTTCTCTTGTATACTTTACTGATGTGGCAATAAAATGGTTAGCTGTAAATTCAGATTAAATTAAATCATGTTTGTTTATTTATCTGTGAATTCCCTTTAAAATTATGTTGTGTTTATTTTTAGTTAGAGAAAACGTATATAACCTATGCAAATCTTTTCAACGAACGTGAAATGAAATTAACAAATTTTCGACATATGTGGTTACATGCTTTACAGTTGCATATCGATCAAGGACCGAATACAGTTAGTTTTATGTTTACCATGTTCATATATTGAAATTCATATAGACGTAAATTACATATTATTAATATTATTCACTTGGGTTCCCAGTATAACATGGAGCTTGAACAACACAGCTCCACTTTGTTCAATTCTCTGCCATCCTCTTCAGCTGGGTCGACGATTGACCATAATCTGTCGTTTTCTCCTCCTCACACGATCTCCATGTTTCCCTCACACTGACTACCCACTCGTCACTTCCCATTTGGTTTCCCCTCGAGTGATGGCCTGGAGCGCGATGTCATTCGACGGCCTCCTCAACGTCTGCGCCATCCATCTCCATTTTCGCTTATATATTTGTTGAGCAATCGGCTCTTGGTTGGTTTGTTTCCAGCCAGAGTTTCCTGTTGCTAATTCTTCCTGGCCTGTCATTTGATCTTGAGTATGAAGCCAGAAAAGTGGCAGTTGTTGACCGAAGTCTGTAACTTGTTGGAAATTCTTTTTGTGACACTGTAAGTCTCTGACCCAAATAGAATTTTACATTTATTTTGAAATTCCGAATCTTGTTCTTTATGTTGGCTGTGTGCAGAATATTTCCAAACTGGTTTCAAGTTGGTGAGTGCGTATTTTGCTTTTCCGATTCTGACTTTGCTTTGACATCTTCGTCCTTTCCGACTACCTGTAATTGAGACGATGCTTCCTAGATAAGTGAAGGAAGTAACCTTTGCTAAATCTCTCCCGTTGATGGTGATTGGTGCTGGTTATTGTTGCTGTTGGTCTTCTCCATGTTCACCTACAGTCCCGTCTTAGCTGCCTGACTCTTCAGCTAGTTTGTTGGTTTTCGCCTGTCTGAAATTTTTCGAGTTTGTGTATCATTAGATACATGCGATCTGCGAAATCTAGATCTTCTAGAGTCTTCTTATCGGTGATCCAGCGTAAATTATATAAGCTTGTTGTATGAGTTCCTTTTATTTTGGACAATTAATTTACAATTTTTGTGGTTCATCTTGTATTTGTGTGTGTGTTAATGAAATCATGTCATGGGCGTGAGGGTGACGCCACTGGTGGTGTGGTTGGTGGAGATTTTGTTGAATTGTTGTTGTCGTTCTGCTGTTCTCTTCTTCTACTTCTGCTTCCTGTTGTTGATGACAATATAAGTGTTAGTGATAGTGAAGAGGACGACATTGCTGTTAGTGATTGTGATGAGTGTTGTGTGTTTGAAGATGTGTGTATCATAGGTAGACGATTGTTGTGTAAGGATTATTGTGTAGTGTGTTCATCGAAGGTAAGGTGTTGGTACTCGATTGTGGTTTGGAGGCGTGAATGTTGTTGGTCATTTAGAGATTCGTGTCGATGTGATGATGAGTGGGGTAGTATAAGTTGATTGTGACTGTGTCGTTGATGACGATGTTTCTGTTGTTGTTGTTGTTGCTCCTGTTTATTCGTTGTGTGTATTGACGGTGTTGGAGTTTTATTTTTATTGTTGAATCGTTGTGTTGGGTATTGTGTTTGTTGTTTTGTGTTAGTGAATGATTTTAAAATATCATGTTATTGGATAGACGATGGTCATTTGCTTTGTTGTTATTTTGAAGTTGATGTTTGTTGTGGGAAATTGATGATTGACTGTGAAGTGAATGGACATTGGAATAATGAGTTGCATAGTGTGTTGATGACTGTAATCGGGGTGTCGATAATATTGTGTTTGTTGTGAATGTGTTGTGATTATCTGTGGTGTGTATTTTGTTTGATAATTAGAGGTGTTTGATGGTATGAGAGTTGATGTGTCGTTTTTAATTTAGATTGTTGTGGTTGACGAGTGGTTGTCAGCGATGTGATGGTGTGTTGTGGCTTTGGAGATGATGTGTGTGCTAGAATGTTTGGCAAGGTCTCCACATTCCTGGTTGCTGTTCCATGGAATACAAGTCATCTGGCAAAAGGGATAATGACCTGTGCTGTTGTGTTAGCCTCTGTGAGGAGGTGACTATGCACGGTCGGACAAACACGACGAGCTCCCATGTTATTTGCTTATAGTTGATTTGTGTTGTTGTGAGTCTGTCGGCTGTATGGGGATAGTATGTTGTGTATTTGTCTTTGAGGATGTGGCGGTTGATTGTGAGTGGTTTCAGTGAGGATGTTTTGTATTACTAGTTTGGTTATGTGTCTTGTTGTGTGTTGGAATTTCACATGGTGTTGTGTTGTGGTTTGACGTAATTTTCTGTTGTTAATGTCGTTGTTGGGAGTATTGATTGTGGTTTAATGTTTACACAGTTCTGAGTATTTAGTTTTCCGTTAAAAGCTTTTCATGTGTAGATATTAAAAAAAAATTATTCGTAAATTTGATGAGTTCACCTCTTAATTACCATGCTCAAGTTGCTTAAACCCCTTCATATTAGGGATCTAAATAACAACACCTTTTGTTACCTTGCCTTACATTTGCTTTTTCCACTTATTCATTTTCTAAATGAAACATAAGGCTTAAAGTTGAAGCTCTGCAGTTTCACTGGCAGTAGTTTTCTTTTTTAGCTGGATGGATTACTTTCGAGGCTTAGGAATGCATTGGTCGGGAATAGAACTTGAACTGGGGGGGGGAGGGGCGCGATTTACTGAGCATTATACTACCGAATCACTGATTCACTTGCTTGCTTACTTCGTTCATACTTTTTTCAATAAAGCAAGAACTACAGTTCGTGCAGAATAAAATGATACTATCGTGTATTTCGTTAACTTCTCATCAGCTGCTTACAACTTAAAGAGATTATTAAGTTTATGTGTAGAAACAATTTTAATATACTTACACAAATTTCATTTTTAAACAAAAAATAAGTGTATGCATACAGTGGTAATAATAATCATACATAACGGGATTTTTGGCGTTACGTTCTGAAATGGAGGAGAGAGTGAAAAACGTTCAGTTACCCGGGCAAGGAAAGACTGATAACGGCTTCTTTCTGAACGCATGAATTGGGTTTCAAACACTTGATGGAAAACGCTTCGGTAAACTTAAGGAGAAAGGAACTATTTTACCTACTGATCATTTTCAACGATCTTCTGACGTCAACCACACCATCTGTGTCTAGGAAAAACCTGGCGATGGCACTATTGAAAGCATTTGTTCCCTTGAGATGTGGGCTTTTCGGTAAATATTCAGAAAATCAGAAGTATGCCCTTCTTTCTGTTCTCCCAATGTAACTGCTTCCGCAGATACATGTAAATTTGTATACATGGTCGGAGTTAACGTGGGGAGGGTATCTATCGACTTTTGGTTGCACTAAACAGCATGTTTCCCGATAGACGGGAACCAGTTTATCTGCAGGATAGGTTCTGGCTAAACAAACTACTACTCGACTAATACAAGACATTGGGACTAATTTTAGTAGAATGGTAAACTAGCTTAATTGATTATCAGTGTATTCCACTCAGTACCCTAGGTATTTTGGGAAGTTTTTGTTCGATACACCACGCTCCCCATTTACACCTTTATTAACACTAGGGTTCTTAATTCCTATTTCTGATACGAGTCAGAAGTCTTCGTCTGTTTTCAAATGTAGTTACCACTTTTGTTTCACTCACATATTTTGCATAAAAGGCGATGCCTACTTGTTCGTCCAGTCTAACTTTCCTTAACTTGTATGTGTTATGAACTGTAACATTATCCGGAGCGTCACCTGACATCTGAACTGGTGACGACTAGTGGTGTCCGTCAAGGATGCCCATTATCCCCTTTTCTATTCAACTTCATCATAGATGTGTTAATGGACTTAACCCTAGGTGACTTCAGCGACTCAGGGATTGACTTGCTACCAGGGAATAATCTCGTTGACTTAGAATATGCAGACGATATAGTCCTTCTAAGCGAAGATGCTCACAAAATGCAGAGTCTTCTGAACACTTTGAGCCGCAATCTACGAATGTTTGGCATGCCATTCTCTCCCGCTAAATGCAAGATGATGTTACAGGACTGGACGGTAAAAATCAATGGTTGGAAACAATTGGTGACATGGCTCAAAACCGTTCTCAGTGGCGCAGATGCATCCACCCCCTGTGACTTATGATCTTCAATGAAACTGTTTTGTATTTCTTTATTACTCCTTTGTCTCACAACTCTGCTCACTGTTTCTATTATGCTTTTCTTGTACTTTCTTCTCTTGCTTCGCGTGCTACACGGAGTGTGGCGACTTGAACTTCCGCACATTTGTGCAAAGTTCTATGTCGAAAACAGACAGACAGACAGGACTGGACTACATCGACGCCTACTTTAAAAATAGGAAGTGAAGTGGTAGAGCACGTTGACCGCTTCACTAATTTGGGAAGTACCATCAGCCCCAACGGGTTGATCTCTGACGAAATCTCAGCACGGATACAGAGGGCTAGTTTCGCATATGCCAGTTTACGCCGACTCTGGCGTAGACGTGATAGGCGGCTATCGACCAAAGGGCGTGTGTACTGCTCATCAGTCCGCTCCGTCCTCCTTTATGGTTGTGAGGCCTGGTCACTGAGAGTGGAAGACATGAAAAGACTAGCTGTCTTTGATCATAGGTGCCTGCGCTCTATTTTCCGTGTAAAGTGGCATAATAAGGTGAGCAACATTGAAGTTAGGCATCGAGTTCTAGGTAAACTGGGGAAATCAATCGACGAAGTCGTGAAGTTACAAAGACTGAGATGGTTAGGACATGTGTTACGTATGCCAAGCCATCGCCTCCCTCGACGAGCAATGTTAGCGGATACAGGGTCAGGCTGGAAAAAAGCTAGCGGCAGTCAAACAAAAACTTGGCACCAGTCAATGAAATCCACAACAGTTGGTCTAAGCCACGTAGGAAGGTGTAGACTTCCAGGCTGGGGTCCTCGGGACGGTAAAAATCTATGGTTGGAAACAATTGGTGACATGGCTCAAAATCGTTCTCAGTGGCTAGCGCAGATGCATCCACTCCTTGTGACTTATGATCTCCAATGAAACTGTTTTGTTCTTCGTTATTACTCCTCCTTTGTCTCACGCCTCTGCTCACTGTCTCTATTATGCTTTTCTTGTACTTTCTTCTCTTGCTTCGCGTGCTACACGGAGTGTGGCGACTTGAACTTCCGCATATTTGTGCAAAGTTCTATGTCGAAAACAGACAGACAGACAGTCACCCGAATCTATCTGTATAAACTTAATATGATCACAGAAATAAAACTGATAGTGTACAATAATATTTGATAAAAACAAAAGTAATTTAATAAAGCGAACACTTGGATTATTGAACTTAGTGAGTTGAATGAAATTTGCAATGCAATCGTTGGTTCATAATTTTTGGAGGCTACAATCGTATCTAGATTCTTAAACTGGAGCATGTGGCTGTTCCGGTAGACCACTTTCTAAAACACTAACTTGTAATCCAACTCACAAGGCAACGAAACAGCAACAGGAGCTGCACTCGTATGCTTATCAGTGTTTTAAATAGTTTAGTATACAGTTCTTTCCTTCTTAATTTTCGACAACACAATAAGAAGACGTAGTTTATCTGAAACGTGTAATGTATTGGCGCAACACATTTCGGACATTCTGATCACACACGTACATGTCATACACAGTTTTTATAGAAGGAAAGAAAGCATGAATAATTACAATACAGGTCAGATTGTGTACAGGTCAAGGTCACAAATAATGGGTAGGGAGACGCAAAAGGTGTGGGTGAGAAAGATAAAAAGAGAAAAGAGAAATATAAGGCAAAGAAGGGGTTGAAAATATTGTGACGTTTATCGAATCTTGGTTCTAGCTTGGATTACCAAGGCAGGTTTAAGGTGATAACAAATAGCTTTTGAACACATACGACAGGTTTAAGTCCTTTTATGGCTAAGGCTTCAATGAATTTAAGTATGTGGCCCAACCTTGTTTTAGATATCGGCCTAAAGGCACTGTTGAAATCAACCTTGTGACCCGTCCCTATAATATGCTTCGCTATAGATGATGTTGGACATCTATTTCCGAGGTCAGTTGTGTCTGGCGATTTCATTTGTTGTTACAGCCACTTCTTAATTTTGTAGCTCATACACTCCATCGGTTGTCGAATGTTCCATAATTCACTTGACTATGATTATTATTTGCTTTTGTTTTCAAAAATATTCAATTCTTTTTGTTTTATGGACAGCATCATAATTGGTCATCATGGCCACCAGTTATACTTTTCATGATCGGAGAGGTTCTATACAATCTTATCTACGAACATTTACGTTTTGATGCAAATGGCCCATTAAGAGTTCGTCATGAATTCTCTAAACATGGGAATAAAGTGAACAGTTTAACTCGTCGAGATACTCCTGCTCTATTCGAAGTACTCACAGAATTTCCTACAGAAGTGACAAATGAAATTAAAGTAAGTCAGCGGTGTTGCATGCTTACAAGGCAAACTCATATTTTCGTGTTGTTCACTTTTGTTCAGGATGTTTTTGACATTATCTGTATAAGCGTAGTATTTAGCCAGAACGATATACCGTGTATATTTATCTGTTTAACTGACTATTCACTTTGACATTTGGTGGTGTGTTTCGCTTGTAGTAACAGGTCACCATCTAGATTATAATAACAATAATTCACACGGACGTCTTACGTCAAGTGCTTAGGTGTTTCTTAAGCCGTTTCTTACCAATGTATGCTGTATCGATTAATAAATTCGTAGATGCTTCGTATATTTCTAAGGCAAACAAACACTGTCTTGGTACATTTGCTTTATTTATATATGTATTAACTCAGTTTAATCTCCTAGAACTGTGAAGTCCCCATATTGGTGGTGGCCACATTACAACCTGACTGATAAAATTCAGTCTGCACCAAAGAAAGGACTAGACACGTCACACTAGTTACTGGTGTCAAATCAAAATATCCACTACAGTCCTACAGGAGGTCAATCGCGAGCCCAAATAGCTCAGTGGTAACGCCTCTGACTGCAGCATTGGGTAACTCGGGTTCGAACCTCAGAGGGGTGGGACATGAGTTCCTTCAAGGTTGCAGATACGCCTTGTTGACGAGTGCCAACTAGCACGAAACCTACGTCCAAAGCTTCCTGCCGATTACCTCCAACCATCTAATAAGTCCTCATATTTCCCCAGTATGCTCTCATTATATTTCTTTTGATTTCCTTCCTTTTCTCTACCTTTTTGTACTTTATGAAGTGTGACAACTTGAACTGCTGCACCTCTATGCAGTAAAGTTCAGTCAGCGAATTGAAACTTAGTCAGACTCTCGTGAAATACTTTCCGAACCTCACTTTCACACTACAGTTGTTAAACGTTAGGGTTGTGGTTTTTGCTTCTTCAGTTCCCCTAACATATTTCATGACATTACTTAATACAATGCTCAGTTACAGACATCATCATTCCGTATTAGATAGTTAGTTAGTTGATGAAACTACAGATTTCTAATAAGACTTCATTCATGAATCTATACTTTCCTAAGTACTGTTGTTGAGTTTCTTCAGTTACTTTCAACACAATGAACATCACATATGCAGTTTTTCATTCATATGTTTGCCCATTGCTTCTGTTGTTTTTATGTTTATCCATTTGAAATCTCTTGAGACATTGGTGAGACCAGTTAACTTTTGTTAATGAACAACTTTTAAGTGCAAAGAATAGTTTTTAATGTTACTTGACGTAGCAAGGTTTACTTTCTAGGGTAGGTGAACAGAATAATAAGGTTTCAGGATTTCATCGTGAGCTGACATTAGTTAGAATCCCGGTGGGTGCACACTGATGAAGAGTCCCAAACCAGGACGAAATAACTGTCCAGTACTACCAGGTTTTCCAATGGTTCTCTAACTAATGTCAGCTCATGGTGAAATCCTGAAACCAATCAAATCCCTACAAAGCAACACTTGAATAATAAGGTTATTTCTATTCAGCTGATTATGCAATCGCAAACTTGTAATCATCTATTTATTTGGTTGTACGTAGACAAAATTTCTTCGAGGTAAGATGTAACTCTTTCTCATTGGATAACTCATGGCCTATCTGGACAGTCGGAGGAATTTCAGTCTTATTTTGTTCTCCACAGTTATACATGTACAGCTTACTTCCTAATTTAGCCACAATGCTTTCATATATTAACCGGAATCCGTATCAATATCTGACTCACACTGTAAGACATACTAGGAAGTCATTCCAGGGCACATGAATATATCTGACTGACTGGTTTCAGCATAGAACTTTGCACAGATGTGCAGCTGTTCGAGTTGCCACTCTTCATCCATGCAGCACACAAAACAAGCAAAGAGAGAGGTTCAAAAGAGAGATAATAGACAGAAATGTGAGGCAAAAGAGAACAGTAATATGGGAGAACAATATGGTTTTATTGGATATTATAAATCACAGAGAGTGAATGCATCTGCGCCAGCCACTGAGAACGATGAGTTTGAGCTGCATCACCACTTGTCTCCAGCCTTCATTGGTTTTACCATCCTGAGGACTCCAACCAGTCAGGAAGTCTACACCTCTCTACATACTTGGCTTAAACTTACTGTTGTGGATTTCATTGACTGATGCCATGTTTTGGTTTGATCGCCAATAGTTTCTTTCAAACCTAATCGCAAAAAACATGAATTGGGAAGCATTTATTTTTATGTTTAGGTAGCCTAGTAACATGTTTTATATCATCACCCCTGTAACTAAATAATAATACTTACGGATATTAGCGACAACAGTCTATAAATATAGGTTTAAGTAGTAAACAAATTGTTATGTGCTTACTTTTGCTATACTTGAAAATTTTTTATTTTCTACTTATGATTTGTCCGTTTTTCTTATTGTTTCGGTAACATAAATCATATACTGTTCGGAATTTTTACGTACTAGTTAGTTCGTTTGACGAAGATTTATCTGTACTCGCATGAGAAATAATGCAAAACTATCATATGGCTATTTTTCCTTAGCTTTATGCTGTTGATATATTTCCAGTACATGTACAGAAATTTAAATACTTTGAATAAACTTAGCACTTCAAATGTTATGCAATTCTTTCAACATGTAAGCCTTAACTGTTTTCCATTCCCCGTGTATTGTCATACTTAGGAGTAGTTAGTGATATTTCTCTAACCTAGTTGATTAAATTGTTACTTTTAAAGCAGCTGTATTTTCAATGTTGATTGACGTCTTTTAATCTCTGTACCTCTCGTTTTGCGTTTATAGGTTCATCCAACATTAATTAACTGGTATAAAGATGCAGACTATCCACCGTTAAGCTTCCACCCATGTGCTCTACCTATGCTCTGTCCTCCAGTCCCATGGATTAACCTGAATGATGCTGGTTACTTAATATCAAGAAGTAATTAAGGTTATTATGTAATTTTATTTAAGTTTCCTATCGTTTTCAATTCTTATGTTTTTATGTGTAATATCACTACTTCATATACCACACTAGTTATCCGTTAGAGAAAGACAGGTAAAACTGTACATGAGATGATCAATCTGTTAGTACTGATCGAAAGTTAGCGACCGACTATGTGATATATTCACTAGGTTGAATAGAATGGCACTGTGTTTTCTATCAAATTTTAAAAGTGTAAATAGCAGATATTTAAGTCATGTGAAGTATTATTTCACGAATATCCGCTACTTTTTTGAAACTAATACCATTTGAAGAATAATGCTTTACGTTGTTTTTGGGGGGATTTATGTTAAGTATTATCGAAGTTTTAGCTTAGTTGAAATATTTTATGAATAGTCTATATTATTCACATCCGTTCCAGAGTTTTCTAATTATTATTATTATTCCCTTTGGTTCCGAGTGGAACATGAGGCTTCAGCAGTATATCGTCATTCCTCCAGTTCTCTGCAGCCTTTTCCACCTGGCTCTATGACTGCCCATAAGTTTTTATCTCCTAACATGATCTCTTACATATCATACCAGGACTTATGTTCAACTCGTCGTTTCCTATTCTGGTTCCCCTCGGGGACTTGGCGTGTGATGTCACTCAACAGTCTCCTCAGCTTATCTCCGATCCATCTCAATTTCCCTCGGTATATCTGTTGCATATTTGGTTTTTGGTTAGTTTGTTTCCTGTCAGAGTTCCTTGCTGCTTATACTTTCTGGCTGGTTATCTGATCTTCAGTATGGAGGGAAGGCAGTTACTGATAAAAATATGAAGTCTATTGGAATTATTTTTCTTGACGCGCCAAGTCTCTAAAGCATAAAGAGGCACTAACTCGATATTGGTGTTCAAATTCCGAATCTTGTTCTTTATCCTGAGTGCAGTAGGTTCTCACACTGATTTCAAAGTAATGAAGGTCTATGTTAATATTTCAAACCTGACTTTGATGTCCTCATCCATGCCACCAGTTTGCAGTTGAAACGATACTGTTTAGGTGGTTGAAAGATGATGATAGTGATTGGTGTTACATGTTGTTGATTCTCTTCACCATCTCTTTTTTCTCTGTGTTCACTTGAAGTTATGTTTTCACCGCTTCTTCTGCCTACTTGTTGGTTTGTGCTCACCGAACTTCGAGTTTGTGTGGTGTGAGAAATGAATCATCCACGAAGTCAAAATTTTCTAAAGTCTTATTATTGTTTCAGCATACGCCTGTATCCTCGCTCCCTACTATCTGTCGCATGATCCAGTCTACTACAATCGGAAATATCATCAGTGACACTGTAGGCAGCCTTTTCTTACTCATCTGCGTTTCATAGGCATCAATGAGTTTTCCTTTGTGAATCACTTGACGCTTAACATCAGCATATAGCTCTTTACTTGCTTCAGTTTTCTTAATTATTGATTGACTATGGGGATCCAACGCATTTGGCTTTTCTTTTCAATTTGATGTCTATCTTATGATTTTCCATTATTTTGTTTTGTTTTTAGACTATTCAACACGTCTGATTAGATGTAACAGTATTTCATTGACAAATCCAACCTACTCGGATGATTTAGATTTTGACTGTAAACAAATTCCATCGGTGCTAGACGCACTCAATTGTTTAGCTTCTTGTCCGTGGAAGATTAATAACACTGTATGTTATGTGAATTAATTTATATATTGAAAAAGTAATTCCTACTTATATTTTTTCACGTGTGTATTCAAATACATTGTGTGCTAGGTATCATAAAATAACTTTCTTGTCGTTGGATGCTCAAAGTGACATCATTTCCCTTGAAGTTATTCATGGACCTTCGTAATGAATATTATAAGTCCTTAGGTGTATTTCCCTGACTTCCTTACTAGCTTCAGTCATGAAACATTACCAGATCTCCCGTATGCCTCGCTAATTTTAAAAAGTCACATTCAGTCATCTTTGCGCGAGAGTTGGCTCAATTGGCTAACGAATCAACTTGCTGCCAATCGATCCTGGGTTCAAATTCTTTCTCGTCCACTTCAGCTTGGACAACTTGGTAGTACTGTAAACCGTCACACAATAAGTGTGACTCATAAAGTGGTATACGTAAAAGCTGTTTCGGGTAGCTAAACTCTCATTCTCTTTCTTTCTTTTTTATTTTTAAAATGCTTCCACTCATTCAGTCATATATTACTGATAAGAGCACGTTTCCACTGTTGCCACTAAATATTCATAAATGAAATCAAATCTGTCGTTTGTAAGTTAAGGTGAAGGTTCACTTTATATCACAACTTGTAATCTCGTTTTTTGGGACCTTAAAGCAAGGGGAGTAAGCGAAATAGCAAGTGTCAAGGAACCTAACCCTAAGTTCCTGTTGTTACGAAGACTCTCCAAACCGATAATTACTACGACCGATTCTCGACTTTAACTCCGAAACACCAGTGGTTGTAAGAAGGAAGTTGTATTACTTGGCAATTAAAATCGAGGTTAGTACATAGTCTGTAAACAAATGTTTTACAATAAATATGCTGTACTTTTATTCGTATTCTTTCGTCTTCTTCGAACCTGAAAACGACTGAATCATTCGTGCCTTCGAGTTCCCCACCAATGGCGACCAAGGCCAATGAACCAACGTTCAATGTTCACCTCCATTGACAGCAAGTGTAAACTACTAGTTAATGTGAGTAGCTTCCAAGTATCTCGGTCCATCTGTCATTTACAGTACTATGAAATTAAAATAACCTAATTCTTTAAAGTATTATTTGAAGGGGGTTTTGTTTTCGTTTTAGATTTTAGACTACCTTATTCAAGTCGCACGTTCCGGTGGCAGTGAAAAGCTGAGTATACCCGAATGGAAAAGTAAACCTAAACGTGTTGAGTTAAAAAGGTGAGTTATAATAAGTGTTTATATTGTTATGACTCCCCTCCATACTGAAGGTCGAATGGCAGGCTAGAAAGAATTAACTACAAGAAACTCTGACTGGGAACAAACCAACCAAGAGCCGATTACTCAACAAATACGCAGAAGAAAATGGAGATGGATTTTTTTTTATTTACAGCTTCATTCCACACTGTATTTTTGGTACGAGTATGGAATTTTCAGCATGGATATCGGTAGCCCAAATTTTGCAGGCCGACCATAGATATCAGGTGTGCGCCGGCGTGGGCTCGAACCCCAGACCATGTGCATGGTCGGCGAGAGTCCTAACCACTGTGCCACCGACGCACACATATGCTGAAGAAGCCGTCGAATGACATCGCGCTCCAAGCCATCATTCAAGTGGGGTCCAAATGAGAAACGACGGGTGGGTCGTTGGTGCAAGGGTGACATTAGAGGAGGACGAGACGAGAAATTATGGTCAATCGTCGACTCAGATGAAAGAGGATGGATGTTCCACTCGGAACCCAAAGGAAAATTTTTTCATTATTACCATTATAAATTTTTCGCGACACGAATTTGTTGCACTTTAGGCACCCAGATAATAAATGACAGACAGCAAGACGATGCAACTTGTGCAGCATAACAGTTTCACCAGTGATTATACGATTCAGAATACTAATATGAATTTATTTCATATTATATAAGTGACACCTCATAATGAATAAACTTCTTAACTTCATTGCTTCATACTGTCCTTGTAGTATACTCTTTATGAAACGTCAGGTTTTCCTTTTATCCATTCAGAGGGGCTTCATTTGAGAATTTTTCATCTACACGAGACAGAAAACTGTTGGTTCAATACCTCATCAATTATTTATTTTTTATATTTTATATTTTTTTTGGCTTAGAGAGGTAAAGGAGTGCTTCCGTGGCCGGGGATCGAACCCCGGACCACCGCACGGTCAGCGAGCATTCTAACCGCTATGCCACCGACGCACTAAAAGTGTATAATTCAAGTGTATTTACATTTGGATACAATTGTCGCGAACTAAAGAACCTCCAGCATCAATTATGAATTCTTATCCATCCATTAACCACGTATTTATTCAGCTAATTAGTTACCTGTCAAATTGTGGTTGGTATCGCAAAAATGATCTGTTGTTTTAATGAATACACTCCCTTATCATATCAATCTACAGTGGCTTTGGCTTACATTCAGACGTGTATGGCATCGGTGTGATAGATATAATTTTCAAATTTTCTTGGCATTCTTATAACAACAATGTATTCTTTGTGCATGTATTATTTAGTGACATGACTGCAAAAGAACGTCAAGTTGCCTATAGAAAATATCGTGAAGCTCGACAGGATTATGGCGAATTTTGTTCTTTATGGAGTACTGAACTGTATAGACTGTCCATAGCTAATCAGGTATGCTTTAAATGTGGTAATTACGACGACTATTTTTTTGGCTTCTGTTTTCGATTTGATTTTGTTTACATTTGTATGAATCTATCCGAATGTCATCCAGTAAATAGTGTGGTGGTGTGATACAGACAATGTGTTCCAAAAGAATATTTTTCCCACAGTAAGAATCATTCTATCCGTCTCGATACTATTCCTACAGTTCACTACTGCGTTAGCAACAGAATACTATGTATATTTCAACATTCTATTTCATGTCGTTTAATGTAAACCAAAATCCCATTATGGGTAAATTTTTGTTTTGATAAAGTCTCACAGTGTTATACAGTAATGTTTACTGATGACGTTTCGAGCACAATTTATTGCTCATAATCATATCAAGATAATCACACGACTTCCTAACTTCATTTATATAGTTCCGTTATTTTTCACTTGATTTTCACTTGATTTGACTGGTAGTAGTATTTTTTCCATATTTCAGGTATGAGTGATGAGTCATTCCTATTGCATGTGTTGGGTGTAGACTCGATGAACAAGGATTCAGCGATCAACCTCTCTCTCCACCTATCTAGATTACTTCTTAGAATTTTAACCCTCTCCCACCCTATTGTGTGCTTGTGTGTTAATGCGTGAAGTGCAATAGCTGAGCTTTTTTCTAAATTACTTATCTTCTCGGGGTCAACCATTCTTACCTTAGCTAAATTCTTATGTTCTGACAATCTGACTACCCCTGACCTACTAGTTTGACCTATGTAGTCGACCTCGCAGTCATTGCATGGTATTTTGTAAATAATATTATTTTGTCTAATTGGGTCAACTGCGTCCTTTAACCTACAGAGCTTGTCCCTGAGTTTGTAGGTTTAAATGCCACCCTAATTCCTATTTTATTCAGAATCCTTAGTGGTGTCTCAGATGTCCCCTCTTTATATGGTATAACTGTGGATGACTTATATTCTCCCTTATTTATGTTATTATTACTAGTATCACAATTATTTTTATTTTGTTTTTGGCCTTTAATGATCTTCCTAATGAATTTTATAGGATAGTTATTCAACACCAACGCCTCTTCTATCTGTTTTAATTCATCATTTAGATCTTTTTTTGTGCTACTTAGTGCCACTGCTCGGTTTGTTAAACATTTAACTAAGCCTGCCTTAACAGTTAAAGGATGAGACGAATTAAAGTCTAAATATCTATTAGAATGCGTTGGTTTTCTATAAACACTAGTGTGTAGTTTGCCTTCTTCTTTTCTTTTTATCTTACAATCTAACATCACAGCTAATTCTCCTTGTTCATTTTCTGATTCAAATGTGAATTTTATTCCCTCAACTTGTGAGTTTATATGCAATGCATGCAATAACACACAAGCACACAATAGGGTGGGAGAGGGTTAAAATTCTAAGAAGTAATCTAGATAGGTGGAGAGAGAGGTTGATCACTGAATCCTTGTTCATCGAGTCTACACCCAACACATGCAATAGGAATGACTCATCACTCATACCTGAAATATGGAAAATACTATTACCAATCAATTCAAGTGGAAATCAAGTGAAAAATGATGGAACTATATAAATGAAGTTAGGAAGTCGTGTGATTATATACCTTGATATGATTATGAGCGATAAATTGGGCTCGAAACGTCATCAGTAAACATTACTGTATAACACTGTGAGACTTTATCAAAACAAAAATTTACCCATAATGGAATTACACTCTACCACAGTGCACAAGTTTTATTCTTTTATCAAGTAAACCAAAATCACACGCCCAGTGATTGGTTAAAGAATATAAACTGTATAGATATAAAGAGTGGTTTGATCAATTGAAAATATACCTTGGCTTCTGTATCTTGCCTTTCTGTTGTTACAGTAGTACTGTATAATTTATGCATGCATTATATGCCTTTATCCAGTATAAAATTACATCTCACCACATTTCTCTAGTTGCTTTTTCTTATGTCATGTTTTCTTCAACCTTTACTTTAGTATCGAGATAAAACTATATGGTTTCCTCATAGTATGGATTTTCGTGGTCGTGTATATCCTTGTCCTCCGCATTTCAATCATACTGGTTAGTTGTGTGGTTTTTAAAAAAAGCCTGTTTCATGTTTGCCACCAACAGCATCTCGTTTCTGTATCAATAAATAACGCTCCGGCCTCGCTTTTACCGCGTTTTTGGAGTTTTTTTTTCCTAACTGGTTGTCTATACTTTTAGTGTATCTCTGTATATTACAATTCGACGTCATAATTCGTGTCTAAACTTTCGCCCGCTTTCAATCAGTTTTGCCTTTTATCTAGATAGTACATCTCTCCCGTATAGACTGTTTCTAATCGTGTTAGTTTTGTTGGGAGTGGCTAAATCTCTGCACTAATATTTTTTCACAAATTGTTGATACGGTTTAGTGGGAATTAAATTTACTATATCACGTGAAATGTTTCCCTATAAGCAAGGTGTAATCGAAAGCATTTCCTAAAATCTTGTGAATTCATGAAAACTAACAGTTTGCATGAAAAATCTCAGGTTAATGAACATCTTCAGTCATCAACAACAAGTGAGATAAATGTTACTTAGTATAATCATTTGCTTTCGCATGCAGTTGACATTCAGCCTTACTTTTTGTGTTAGTGGTTAGTGGTAATACCTGTTTGGAGAAATCTTGGCATGTGATACCGGATTCGAGCTTGTGACATTGTGATTGGATATCAGTCACTTTGAATAGTGAGCCACAGTGCCACTCATCAACAAATCATTCAGGTTAAATGTCATCCCAATGGACTGATTATAGCCTAGGTGCCCCATTTCATAGACTTATTGGACAAAGTGTATAAGTACCTGGATGCCATTTAGTTAAAATATGACTACTACATCTTACTTACCAAGGTATCAATTTCCGTCGATTCATTTTCAAAACCTTGAGAGTCAGAAACATCTACAGCTGAACACACAACTCTGACGTAATTCCTTGTCTTTGGTAAATATCTTACTGATATCAACTTTTCATTTAATATATATCATTATTACAAAAGAATAACGGATGTTTGTAATTAACACAATGACTTTTCAACAATGAAATTTATACAAGAGGAGAGTAAATCAGAGACAAGGGTGGTAGAACTTTAAGAAATTAAAACTTTTGTCACATAAAATGATTACTATTGCTGTCATTGAATGTACAAAAAAAAGAAACTGGAAGATGTGCACTGCTGACTGACTGACTCAAGCAGTAGGTTAGTTATAAAGTCAGTCAAAAACAGTCTTAATTTTTTGATGTAGTTGTGTTCTCTGAGCTGGATATTTTATTTACTTCAATTTGAAGTATGTGTTGAAGATATTGCCTAGTAGAGCAATGAAAGCTTGGCAAATAAACCATCCAGCTTAGAGAACAGAACTGTATAAAAATCATCCACCTGAGCTACAAATCTTTTCCATTATATCTACAGTCTTACTTTATCGAAATAATAGTTGTGCTCAGACTTCTTTTTTATTCTGTTTTTTTATAATTACAGTTGTACATTCCAATTTAGATGATATATATGCATAGTTTAATTTATATTTTTTTTCTGTTATTCTGATGTATACAGGTAGCGATGTGGCTCGAAGTCTTATCGTTTTTGCAAAAGGATTACCTCTTGGTTCCAAGGGCTTAGACTGGCTTAAAATACACCTAGTCAACTTGACAGGCTTAAAAAAGAGGTAATATAGAATAGGTTAACCTTCTGTACTTATTTGATGACTGGGTTTCTGTTCAATCCAGATACATAGAATATTTGCTTTCGTTTTAATATTGTCGAACTCTTTGCATTTGACTGATTGGTGAAGTGTTATTTTAGATTAGATGGTCTTATTGTGTTTTAAACGGTGATACGCTTTGAAGTCAGTTAGTTGATGGTAACTAGCAGTAGAATCCAGGATGCACATTTCGTCCTATTTAGGACTCGTCATCAGGATGTGTCTGCATTCTCCAGTGAATGATGGCATTCCCACCGAGGCTCAAGCCCAGTGCGCATAGTCTCAAATGCCAAAGCGTTATTCACTAGACCACTGGGGCCATGAGAGCCATCTCTTGTGCAACCGGACTTATTAATTATTTAATTCAATGGGGATTTTCTCGTTGATCCATTAGACCGAGGTGCTTTGCTTTGGTACTGGCAAGCAAAAGCTCACATTGCGTTGGATGTAAATTTGCGGATTACTTAGAAATGTAATTATCTATAATCGGTTTTTAGGACAACTGAGTCAAAATCGTAACAAATTCCAACGAAAACTAATGTAGAGCATTTGTGGTATTATTTTATCAGCCGTATTAAGTACGCCTATTATGCATGATTGCATTCACAAAACATCGAAAATTTTTAGGAGTAATTAATTAGAAATCATTAGGAGTTAAAGTCGAATCCGTTCATCTTGCTCTGCTTTATTCATTGTCCCCATTTCTTTCCCTCACTCTTAGTTTTTATCCCCATCTATTTATTTACTCCAGTTTTCATGTTCTACGTTCCACATAGCTTTTTTCCGGTGAAATGTGTTGTATACATTTGATTGAGTAGAGTATAGGAGAGTACGAGGTACGGATGAGAAATCAATCGATGGAGTTCTAAAGCTAGATTGATCAGGATAGCTAAGACACTTATCACGCATCCCAAACCACCGTCTTCCTTGTCGAGCCGTGTTAACTGGTATAGAACTAAGTTGGAAAAGAGTTAGAGGTGGTCAAACCAAAACTTGTCATCAATCAGTGACGTCTTTAACAGTTGAATTGAACCACATGGTGGGGTTAGATTGCGTAGTTGGCGTCCTCGAGATACAAAGAACAGTACCTGTAGACTATTGTTGATATACGGCTCAAAGTCGTCTTCAGTGGCACCGATACATTCACTGTTTGTAATCTTCTGGATTTCCATTTTACTAATCTATCTCCCGTACATTTTCGCTCATTATTGTCGTTTTGAATTTCTTTTTTCTTTCTTTCCTCTACCCTTGTATGCTGCATGGATTGTGGCAACTTCAACTGCTGAACTTGTGTGCAAAGTTCTGAGTTGAAGTTCAGTCAGCCATAGCATTCACATATACACTTGAAAAGTGGAAAGTCTAGGCTACTATTTACTCGACGCCTACTGTATTACTTGTCTATTTGCTTCATAGATGCGATGATTATGTTATATTTATACCTATATCAGTGTCGTCTAAACTTACATTTTTTTAAATATCTTAAGAAGACATAATTATTATTTTCTAGATATTTCGTTTATCCTAACTCCTCTAATAACTCACTCTTCAAATAGATCTGTGTAAGAAATCATTTCACAGTAGGGAAACTTTAAAAATAAATAACTGTTCACTCATATCTTCAGAGCATAAAACTGTTCTCTTGATTTATTTCAGCAGAAATACTACCCACTTTTGACTAAATACAAACAGGACAACTGATCGTGTAATAAACTGAATAAATATCACACATTAAATGTATGGCAAATTTCATCTTTAGACACTTAAGAGGCGAGGATGTGTACCAATGACCCAAACTTCCACGGTGTGGGCAGCCGGGAAGTAACAATCGCCCTCACAATCCAAAACGCACGCGAAACCTCTCTAATCCTCACTCATCTTTGTCTTCATTTTCATCTCTATTACCTTACCTTCCCCCCTGATGCAACTCCTCGACTTGATAGCTCTCACTCCCTCTTCACTCTGTGTCCACTAAAAACGATGGAAGCCAAAAAACCACCACCGACAGCCTCTTAAAGCCGCGCCACCAATTTCATATAGGAGCTCTTAATGTTAGGACACTTTGCCAAATAGGACAACAAGCATCACTAGCCAAGACCCTGGCATCACGAGCCATTGATGTATGTTGTGTTTCAGAAACACGCATACAAGACCCAAGTGTGGTTATTCACCTAACCCCACCTGGCCAACAGGTTGAATCTGCAAAATTCACCTTGAGGGTGTCAGGAGATGCCACAGCTAGTTCACGAGGATTAGCTGGCGTAGGGATAGCTTTGAGTACTAGGGCAGAAAAGACATTGCTTGACTGGATCCCGGTAGATAGCCGAATGTGTGCTGTCCGCCTGAACGGATCAGTAAGAAGGAGGAAGGACTGCACTACTCGCCGATGCCTTTTCGTAATCTCCGCCTACGCCCCCACTGACTGCAGTTCAGATGAAACGAAGGATGAGTTCTACCAAAAGCTGTCTAGTTTGGTGAGAAAGGCTAAACGCTCAGACATAGTCGTTCTAGCTGGTGACTTTAACGCTCAAGTAGGGAAATTGTGTCAATCTGAGAAGGATGTCGGTGGCACCTATGGAGTTCCGTGCCAGCGAACCGACAACGGTGACCGTCTCCTACAGTTCTGTTCTGATAATCATTTGTTTCTTGTAAGCACTAACTTCAAACACAAGGAGAGACACTGTTTGACTTGGAGACCCCCTTCATCAAACCAACGCTGGACACAAATAGACCACATAGCAATAAGCTATCGTTGGCGTGGGTCGGTAGGAGATTGTCGCTCCTTCTGGAACACGTGCGTAGATACCGACCATGCACTGGTCCGCGCTCGGGTGTGCTTACGACTGAACGGACGTAGGAAACAGCTGGCGGTAAAACCATCACGTCCCCAGCTCGATCAGGAAACTAAATCCGTATTTCAGGAAGAACTAGCTAAACACATATCTGTGTTCGACAGCTGTGCTCACCCTGAAGAAGCTTGGAAAAATATCCAGGCAGCCATAGATACAGCTGTAAAAGCTGTGAATAAGGTAAACCCAAAGGTGAGTAAAAACCACTGGATCTCCACCGCCTCATCCGAACTGATAGATGCTAGAAGACTTATTCCGGCGAGCTCCGAATTCAATGAGGAGCGAAAGCTGCACAAGAGGAAACTTACGAAAAGTCTCCGCAAGGACCGTGAACAGTGGTGGGCGACAAAAGCCAAAGAGATGGAGAAAGCTTTGAGGATAGGCAACACCAGGCAACTCTTTGGACTCATCAGGGAAACGGGTGGGAGAAGACAAATCATTAGTGAGACAATCTCGGAAAAAAATGGCACTATAATTAGCTCCAGGATAGACGACTGGATCGTTGGAAAGAGCATTATGAGGAGCAGTTTAATTTGCCCACAGCCACGCTCAACCTTCCGAGCATCCAACACCTCCCTGAATGGGATATAGATACAGGTCCTCCGTCACTAACTGAGGTTACTAAAGCTGTCACCAATCTGAAACTAGGCAAAGCAGCGGGACCTGATGGAATGACGCCAGAGGTATTTAAGTACGGTGGAGACAGCTTACTGTCCGGATTAACTGAGGTACTAGGCAGCGTTTGGGAATCAGAAGAAGTCCCATCGGGTTGGTGTAAGTCACTGATTATCCCCATATACAAGAAGGGAGACAAGTCTTCCTGTGATAATCACAGAGGGATTAGCTTGACTAATATAGTATCTAAAGTCTTAGGCTCAATAATCATGCGTAGACTGAGTGGTGCTCGGGAAGCACAAACACGAGAGAGCCAGGCAGGCTTTAGACCAGGAAGAGGGTGTATTGATCATATCTTCACCCTCCGACAGATTCTAGAACATAGGCATTCCTACCGGCGTCCAACAGTCATTATATTTCTTGACCTAAAGGCAGCATTCGACTCTGTCGATCGGGAAGTTCTCTGGAGATGCTTGGCTGTAAAGGGAATTCCAAGAAAATATATTGCACTGATTAAGGCACTCTACTCGTACTCATACAGCCAGGTGAGGGCTTACGGCGAGCTGTCATCTGAACTGATGACGACCAGTGGTGTCCGTCAAGGATGCCCATTATCTCCTTTTCTATTCAACTTCATCATAGATGTGTTAATGGACTTAACCCTAGGTGACTTCAGCGATTCAGGGATTGACTTGCTACCTGGGAATAATCTCGTTGACTTGGAATATGCAGACGATATAGTCCTTCTAGGCGAAGACGCTGACGAAATGCAGAGTCTTCTAAACACCTTGAACAGCAATCTACGAATGTTTGGCATGCGATTCGCTCCCGCCAAATGCAAGATGATGTTACAGGACTGGACTACATCGACGCCTAGTTTAAAAATAGGAAGTGAAGTGGTAGAGCACGTTGACCGCTTCACTTATTTGGGAAGTACCATCAGCCCCAACGGGCTGATCTCTGACGAAATCTCAGCACGAATACAAGGGGCTCGTTTCGCATTTGTTAGTTTACGCCGACTCTGGCGTAGACGAGATGTTCGACTATCGACCAAAGGGCGGGTGTACTGCTCATCAGTCCGCTCCGTCCTCCTTTATGGTTGTGAGACCTGGCCACTGAGAGTGGAAGACATGAAAAGACTAGCTGTCTTTGATCATAGGTGCCTGCGTTCTATTTCCCGTGTAAAGTGGCATAATAAGGTGAGCAACATGGAGGTTAGGCGTAGAGTTCTAGGTAAACAGGGGAAATCAATCGACGAAGTCGTGAAGCTACATCGACTGAGATGGTTAGGACATGTGTTACGTATGCCAAGTCATCGCCTCCCTCGACGAGCTATGTTAGCGGATATAGGGTCAGGCTGGAAAAAAGCTAGCGGCGGTCAAACAAAAACTTGGCATCAGTCAATGAAATCCACAACAGTTGGTCTAAGCCACGTAGGAAGGTGTAGACTTCCAGGCTGGGGTCCTCGGGACGGTAAAAATCTATGGTTGGAAACAATTGGTGACATGGCTCAAAATCGTTCTCAGTGGCGCAGATGCATCCACTCCCTGTGACTTATGATCTTCAATGAAACTGTTTTGTATTTCTTTATTACTCCTTTGTCTCACACCTCTGCTCACTGTTTCTATTATGCTTTTCTTGTACTTTCTTCTCTTGCTTCGCGTGCTACACGGAATGTGGCGACTTGAACTTCCGCACATTTGTGCAAAGTTCTATGTCGAAAACAGACAGACAGAGACCAATGACCCAAGAACAAGTGATTGCGCTATGAAGCGAATTCGGCTCCCTATCCTCCGAACTTTCTCTAACCTCAGTCTAATCTATCCCTAATACGGTTAACCTAACCTAAAACTAACCAGATATCCTGTTTAATGTTATTACACTCCATTCAACACTTTTCTTCATGAGTATAGTGTTGTCTACCAGGTTTCAACGCCTTGTTGTGGCTTGGCGTTGCACGGCCAGTGGTGCGTTCACTCCTATTTGGTACCTAAAATCTAACTTCACCCAAAATATTGTAGAAAAACTGTATTTGTTGTTAGAAATGATGGCTGTCGTTTATAGCTCAGGGGGTTGACATTAGTACAAGTAGTGCAAGTATGCCAAGTCATCGCCTCCCTCGACGATCAATGTTAGCGGATAAAGGATGGGTCAGGCTGGAAAAAAGCTAGTGGAGGTCAAACAAAAACTTGGCACCAGTCAATGAAATCCACAACTATTGGTCTAAGCCATGTAGGAAGGTGTAGACTTCATGGCTGGTTGGGGTCCTCGGGACGGTAAAAATCTATGGTCGGAAACAATTGGTGACATGGCTCAAAATCGTTCTCAGTGGCTAGCGCAGATGCATCCACTCCTTGTGACTTATGATCTCCAATGAAACTGTTTTGTTCTTCGTTATTACTCCTCCTTTGTCTCACACCTCTGCTCACTGTTTCTATTATGCTTTTCTTGTACTTTCTTCTCTTGCTTCGCGTGCTACACGGAGTGTGGCGACTTGAACTTCCGCACATTTGTGCAAAGTTCTATGTCGAAAACAGACAGACAGATTAGTGCAAGTATATTCCTTGAGTTAATTACCAAACTTTCATTATCTTTACTCTCAGACTTCAGTATATATATATATATATATATATATATATATATATATATATATATATCACAAGGTAAGTGAATCATTTAGATGTATACAGTTAAAGTACAGCTAATCATTGGTTAGATTAAACAATAAAATCTTTGTTATTTTCTTTCTACAAATTTGTTTATATGACAGTGGTTTTTGCACCTCCAAATCTTGGTGTTGATGAAAGATTTTAAAATATCCTATTAGTAAACGTACATTGTATAAAGTGTTTATGTTGTATTATCTAATTTACTTACTTTTTAGTTCAACTTCACCGTAACTAAATATAAGTTTCTTTGTTTACTGTAGATGTACTCACAATGAACGTCTAGAATATGCTGATTCTATAATGGATGATATTATCGATTCTGCTGAAAAGCCATTTGATGTAAGCTTTATTATTTTACTTTATGCGTCCTTCCTCTTGTCATCATGGTTCATTATAGAAAGATCTTTTTGACATTAGTCTATTGGAGGAGAACCTGGGATAGATAGAGTGATATGCGTAAAGTGAATAAGGTCTAATGTAATTTGAAGAAATCTGAAAAGAAAGAAAGACTGATGGACTTTCGCCTTGAAGCTCTATCATTTTTGAAGGTCATGATGTCGAGACACTCAAAGTTTCCACTTTTGATGTTTGTGCTACCCGACTACATGGTATGAAAAGAGTGCAGTAGTATGCGAAAAAATTAATTCTTATTGAGCAATATTTTATTTGGTAAGTCTTTAAAGTGGTGCAGATTGTTAGAACTTATAGGAACATTTTGTTTCATATCATGTTTCCCTTGTTTCGTTGTTTAACTGACTTAGGAGATATGATAAGTCATCAGTATGTCTGTAAGTAGACGTAGTTTGTATTCAACATTTTCTCGTGCTTGTTTACATCTCATACAAATCTCTGTTCACTATGGAGACTGATCCAGTTATGGTATTTGTTTCTTCAGAATTATTTACCTTCTTCGTATAAATTTTTATTCATTTATACAGGGCAGGAGATGGTGGCAAGATCAAGCGGAACCTTGGCAAATTTTAGCGTGTTGTATTGAATTAAAAAATGCATTATCGCATCCATCCGGGCCGGAATCATTTATTTCTCATTTTCCTGTCCATCAAGATGGCTCTTGTAACGGTCTGCAACACTACGCTGCTTTGGGTCGTGACCAACGAGGTGCTGAATCAGTGAATCTGACTAATATGGATCGACCTCAAGATCTTTACAGTGATGTTGTTGAAGTTGTAAGTTTCCCTGAGTTATCAGTTTATCCAACTACTAATTCATATATACTTCGTGCAAATTTATTGTGTATGAGTGGATTTTCAAATACTTCTGATTTAAATTAAATTGCCTTTTCCTCTTTTAAGGTGGAAGCCCAAAGACAAATAGATGCAGATGGCGGTGATGTTACTGCAAAAAAACTTGAAAACTTTGTTCGACGTAAAGTTATTAAACAGTCAATTATGACTACAGTGTATGGTGTCACTCCGTATGGTGCTACAGAGCAGATACGCAAACAACTCCGTGACTTACATGACTTTCCCAAAGACTCTTTATTACCTGCCTCAAGATATTTGGCTCGTTTAACACTTTCGAGTATTGGAAAAATCTTCACATCTTCAGTCGACATTCAAGATTGGCTTTGCGAAGTAACTTACCGTTTTACTGTTCCCCATACTTTTTTATTGATATAAGATTTTTGACTCCTGTTATAAGTTACGAAAGCCTATTCAGCTGCACCGCTATCCCCAACACCAGTTATACGAAGTTGTCCAACTTAATAAATCTACAGTATGCACTGAAATACTGTGTATTTAGAACTGTAACATTTGGCACTAGTTGTCATTCTTACTTTTATGCCACCTAAGAATCTGATCGGATCTATACGTGAGTAGGATCCCTGTGTAGTGTTTTTATGAAGGCTATGTGCTCAAAATTGCTTTCTTGTCTAGTATTTCCTCAGTAACTGTAAATCTCTCGGTTTGTTGACTAGTGTTTTTTTTTCATTTTAAACCAGTCTTACTCATAATACTTTACCCATGGGTTGATATGTAACGATTGCTTTCTTCTTGACTATTCCGGCATTTGACAATACTTTAACGCTGCTTACGAGAAGTAATAGATCACACTATTATTTTCATTCCATCGTCGCGACTAATGGTTTCAGAGATAGAGTAACTGAACCTATGTAATATCAGTCAGCTCCAACCAGTGGGTCACGGGTTGCGACCCCACTCCACTTACCTTGGTTTGGGCAGCTTGTAACAACCGAAGACAAGGGCCAGGCAACAGATCGTTTATTAAGGAAATCAACACATATTAATAGATTTTCATGTACGTATTATAGATTATTGCTAGCAGAAAAATACAGTCCTCTGATTGGTTGTTTCTCACAGATAGTTAACCTTGCATTTCTTTGTGGCTGTTTCTTGAATGTCAGATCATATTTATATTAACTGTATCCGCCTACGCAAAGCCTTTCTTCTCATTTTTCTCACGACCAATATTGGGGACATAAACACTGACGTAAATTACTGTCCACCAATTTTGACTAACAGCTAGCTCTAACAACAAGCTGAGTGGTCACAATAGTCCCCAATTAATAAGTGTAACACATTGGCAACTGCGTGCAGTTGCCAGTAATTTTTGAGAAAGACTTCATAACAGTTATCCATGTCTCAGGAGATAAGATCAATAGTCTGGAGGTTGCAATTTTATATTTTACTGAAACGCGCACTTTTCCTTTTGAACTTGTTTAAGTCTTACTGACCGTCTACTGTTTCCAACATCTATCTTTGCAGATTGCAAAATATATATCTGGAGATCTACAATGCAGAGTTAGTTGGGAAACTCCACTTGGCTTACCAGTTATTCAGCCTTATATGCAGTCTGGTAAAAGCTCTTCATCTGATAATGATTATACAGTTAATATTTATGGCCAGTCGCAATACAGTAGTCAAACAGAAGCAGATTTTCTAAAGAATCTTAAACAAAATAGTAATTTTATATCTCTACCAAAATCATCTAAACAGACTAGTGCTTTTCCTCCAAATTTTATTCATTCACTGGATTCATGTCATATGATGTTGACTGGTTTACACTGTTTAAAAGAAGATGTTGCATTTGCCTCTGTACATGATTGTTTTTGGACGCATGCAGCTAATGTGGATAAACTAAATCGGGTAAGCTGTCTACTCTTCATGAAGCTTTTCCTTCTTTCGTCTGATGTAATTTTTTAGTTTTTCAGTTCACTATTAACTGTCCGATTTACATAGTTTATGATATAATTGGTTACGTGAAAGTCGTACTGTTGTCTTTTATTTATAACTGACTTACTAACTGGCTTCAAAGTAGAACTTTGCACAGATTTGCAGCAGTTCGAGTTGCCACACTTCGTGTAGCATACAAAGCAAGAGAAAAGAGTAGAAAGATAAACAGAAATATGAAGCAACAACAGTTTTAATGTGGATGAACAATAGAATTTTATTGTATGTGATAAATCACGAAGAGTGGATGCATCTGCACCAGTGAAAACGATGAATTTAAGCCATATCACTAATTGTCTCCAGCCTTAATTGGTTTTCACCAACTCGAGGACCCCAACCAAGAAGTCTACACCTCCCTACATGACTGACTTAAACTACCTGTTGTGGATTTCATTGACTGATAAAGCGATGTTTTCGTTTGATCCACCACTAGCTCTTTTCCAACCTCATCGATCCTATATCAGTTGGCATCGTCTGTCGAGGAAAGCAATGGCTAGATATGCGTAACACATGTCCTAACCATCTCAATCGGTGTAGCTTCACAACCTTGTCGATTGATATCCCCTCTTTACTTAGCACTCAACCGAAGCCTAACCTCACTATTGCTCACATTGTTATACCACTTAATACGGGAGATAGAACGCAGACACCTATGATGAAAGACAGTTAGCCAGCCTTTTCATATCTTCCACTTTCAATGACTGTGTGTCACAGTCATAAGGGAGAACAGAACAAACTTGTGAGCTTATTTATAACATTGTCTCTGCTGTGTAAACACTTTATGTATCAATGTCAGTGACTAACATTCAGCCTTACAGTGTATTTCTCTTAAATTTTTTTAAAGTTTATTACCACAATTCCGTGTTTACTTCATATTACTAGTTAACCAACTTTTACATTAGCATAAAATAAGTATCAATTTATTGCCTATGGATGCCAAAAATGATGAGTGGATGGTTGTTCTAGCAGAAATCTCTGCTTTTTACAATATTGTTTTAGGATATATATATATATATATATATATATATATATATATATATATATATATATATATATAACCACGTGAATGGAAAAACAGAATAGCCTAAATGATTCTGTGTATTGAAATCGTGTTTAGATTTCCGATTGATTAATTTGGCTTAACTGAAATCCCCAGTATCTGTTAACATGTTAGCTGTTAGAATGGATGCTTTGACAATGTTTTGAGGTCATTTTGGAGAATTGCGTACCCTGAACTCCGTTGCTTTCATTTACTTATTTGGTACCTTATAGCTTCTATGGGATGCGCCACACTATATCTCATAGTTTGTGCGATGACTGGATTACTCCACGGACGATACCCTGACTGAAGCAGGTGATTGGTTGTCGTAAGGGGCCACACCCAGAGCCGTTAACTCGAAGTCTGATTCACAATGCAGTAGAATAAGGTCAGGTGCTGCATATTCTCATAGTTGGTTGTCGGTGACCGTTGGGATTCTGGAGCCCATGTACACCATAGGTTTAGAATCAGGGTTTTCCAGCTCCCTTAGGTAGACCTTCACGTCCACCATTTCGGTTGTAAGCTCCAGAATTTCTCATTCATCCTCTCACTTTTGTGAAGGGTAACCCCACTGGATAAATACAATGAGTAGGACTTATCTTAATCCACTGCTAGCCATCATCAGCCAATCGACCTGAAAATGATACTTTATATGTACAATTAGAAGTCATCTATACACTCCAGAAGTTTACTGTTTTCATTTAATTTCCTTATCGATTTCATTGTTTTTATTTCATTAATATGTAATAAGCCAGTTAAATTCCTTTAAAGTTGTGATTGTACAGTTCACTTGCTTCCCGATGTCTGTTGTGTGAATTAAGTTGTTTTGTTTAGGTTTCTCGGTTATGTTTACTTCATGTGTCATCAAGTTGACGATATCCAATCACATTTTTAACTCTTGAAAAAAAAATTGAATTGACTACTTTTGTAGATATTTTTTTACAGACTATTCCCGTGTTGTTTCCAAAATTAGAACATGATTCTGGTAGGCTCAGAAACTTGAGGAGGAGCGGAAATAGGTGAAATGTAAATTGACTAAAGGTTATCATTGTCGATCGGGAACACTAGTGAATGGTAGAGGCGAAAAAGCAGAGAATTGCCCTAGCTTCAAGTAAGACGGGTCGGGTTACAAATACATCAAGTGAAACATCCTCCCAGATGGCTAGAAAGTTAACAAATCCTTAAGGAATTTGGCTGTGAGCCAGCCTGTTACTGTACAATGATTAATCATCGTCCAACACTAGTCTAAAGGAGATCCTTCAACTCTAACGGGAATTTCCAAACTTGACTCTAATTTAAAACGAGATAAAACATCGGGCAATGATGATTCAACTCAAACAACGTTCAAAGATAGTGGTGACAAACTTATTGACTTCACCATGTACGGTACAGATTTGTTTACAGAAATCCAAGATAGTTCCATTGAACTAATGCAGGTATTCGTTTCTGTCATTATGTAAAGTAGAGAATGGATTTGTGTACATTAGAAAAATAAACAAAAACTATAGTTCGAATTTTGGAGTGATATAGTTTTAAAAATTATCGAATGCGAGTTCAGTATGTCTTCGTAACAGATAATAACTAGTCTTCGATTAGTTGTATGATATTTCATCGGATTTAAATATCCCCTAAAACTCTTCAAAGTAACTGAAGGTTAGTTACAGGATTCCATTATGAGCTGATATCAGTTAGATAACCATTGGAAAACCTGGGAGTGGTAAACAGCTGTTTCACCCTAGTTTGGGACTCTTCATCAGTGCGCACCCACTGGAGTTCGAATTCAGGACCTTCCGGTGACAAGGCAAGCTCGTAGACCACAATTAAGCCACTGGGACCCAATCCAACGGCCATCCCATGAATTCCAACTTCTTTTAAGTAAACGTTGTTTAACAAAACTCTGCAAAGAATTAAAATTGCACTTGTCTAATTAGTTAATCATCGGTGTTTTGCTTCTTTAATCTCTTTTTCTTCTATGTGTATCCCATTTTCTTTTGTACATTCTGTATCTGTAGATTTGTCGGGAAGAATTCATAGCTCTTCATAGTCAACCGATATTAAGCAATTTTGCTGATTATCTTAAACAAAGATTTGCATATACTGAACAGTAAGTTGATATTATTATTATTATTATCAACATTATCTTACATAAGATTGCATTGATTCGCATGTTGAAAAATTGTTTGAATACTGAGTTATTTTTGTTGTTCCCTTGGGTTCCTAGTGGAACATAGGGCTTCAACTGCACGTCTCCACTTGCTTCTGTCTTCCTTCTGATGTACTTTTCACCTGCATCCATGTTAGTCCATATTCTTTCAACTCCTCTTCACACATTCTCCTCTATGTTACCCTAGCACTGACGTCCCACTCGCCGCTTCACTTTCGGCCTGGTTCCACTCGAGCAATGGCCTGAGGCGCGCGCGATGTCACCCAGCGAGCGAGTGTCCAACCCATCTCCACTTTCTCCTGCATATTTGTTGGGTAATTGGTTCTTGTTTTGTTTGTTCCCAGCCATAGTTTCTTCTTGGTGATTCTTTCCGGCCCGGTCATCTGATCTTCAGTATAGAGCGAAGACAGTTATGGATAAAGGTCTGCAACAGGCTGTTGGATATATTCTTTGTGACCCGCCCGCCAAGTTTCTCATCCAGTCCGCATAGAAGAACTGACTTGACGTTTGTATTGAAAATCCTACCGAGTTTTGTTGTTGATGCTGAGTGGAGAAGATTTCCAGATTGGTTTCAGGTTGATGAATGTGTTTCTTACCTTTCCGATTCTCGCCCGATTTGACATCCTCGTCCGTTCCGATTGCCTGTAGTTGAGGCAATGCTCCCTAAATAAATGAATGAAGTAACCTCTTTCAAATCCCTCTCGTTGATGGTGATTGGCGCTGGATGTTGTTGTTGTTGGTTGTTTCTTTTCATAACCTCCGTCTTGTCTATGTTCACCTGAAGTCCTGTCTTTGTTGCTTCTTCGACCAGTTTGTCGGTTTTCGCTTGTAAGTCTTTGATTTTGTGTGACATCAAACATAAATCATCCACGCACGAAATCCAGGTCTTCTAGGTTCTTCACGTCGGTCCAGGATATTCCTGTCTTCTCGTTTCCCACTGTCTGACGCATAATCCAATCAGTCCACCATAATTAGGAATATCATTGGTGATAATAAGCACCCTTGTCTGACTCCAAACGCCTCGCTGAGTTTTCCATTGTGGATCACTTGACATGTGCCGTTGTCGCACAACCAGCTGTTGAATAAGGTTGATGAATATTTGGGCGCTGCACGCCGTAGTACTCGAGTAATTTCCAAATTACTTCGCGGTCAACGCTATCTGTCGAACTCCTTCTCAAAGTCTATAAATTTGAGGTAGAAGTTTGATTGCCATTCCATGCTTCGTTCTGTGATGATGATGATGATGATGCGTAGAGTTGCGATTTGGTCAGAACATGATTTGCATCTCCTGAATCCAGCTTGTTCTGGTCGGAGTTCTGTCTCCAGTGGTTCCTTTAATCTCTCAAGGATGATGCGACTCAGGATTTTACTTGGCGTCGACAGGAGCATGATTCCTCGCCAATGCTTGCAGAGTGAGGCGTAAGTCGCCCTTCTTTGGTAGTTTCACGAGGTAACCTTGCTTCCAGTCAGTAGGCACTTTTCCCTCGTTCCAGACCTTTTGCAATAATGGAGTCAGCATGTCTACTGTAGTCTCTGGGTCCGGTTTCAGTGCTTCAGGGGGTATTCGATCTGGTCCAGCTGCTTTTCTAGCTTTCAGAAGCTTGATTGCATTCAAGACTTCAGCTCTCGTTGTAGGATTGGTGTCAACTTGCAATTGTGTGCGCGCTGTTGTTGGTATTTCTGAGTTAATTTTATGTAATTGAGCCTTTCTTTATTTCTACTAATATGCTTCTATTTTAAAGCTTTTAAACAATGTAATCACTTTTTAACTTGATGGTGACCAGAAGAACTGATAATAACAGTCAGCGGTTTACCTCGAATACACTGTATCCTAATACTTGACTAGTAACATCAGTAGTCCCTTGTGGTTGTTTGTTTTTTCAGCGGTAGTTCACTTGATACATGGTTTTTCTTTTGCTGGCATTTTTTCACATATTTAATATCATAGTAGTTATGATGCTGTAATCACAGACGATTATTACGCTTACACTTTATTTTGATTATTTTAGAGAAATTGATGGAATGAAAAATAAAACTAAACAAGAAAGAGCAATAGCTTTCAACAGGTTACTCACAAATGTTCCAAAAACAGGTTAGTGTTCATCACTTATGCTTGTTATCGAATTAATAATTTCTAAAATTCCCTGTCCTTAAATAATAAATACTTTGGAGGAATGCAACCCAAGTTGCACGGAAATATTTTAAAAGTCAAAACACTATATTGATTGACTAAGTTTCGGCGTAGAGCTTTGCACAGAAGTGCAGCACCTCAAATAGCCACACCCTGTTCAGAGGAAATATAGTGAGCAGAAAGAGAAAGAATAGATAGAACATGGAAAAACATGATGATCTGAGAGATTACAAATAGTGAATGGATCTGCGCCATTGAGAACAGTTTTGAGTCGTATCACCAATATTAGCAAGATTTTGTTCTTAGCCTCTCCAGGGTCTCCCAGTTTCAATAGCTATCTCTCACAATCATAAAAAACAACAAAATGAACTACTGTGCAGTACACACATCCTTTGGACGATAGCTGGGAGATGGCTGAACAGAACAATGCAAAAAATCAAAATGAACCAACCTGTTAATGTACAATAATTGATCATCATCCAACGCCAGTCTAAAGGAAATCCTTCAACTCTAAGGGACATTTCCAAACTTGATTCTAATTTAAAAGGAAATGACGTCAGTTGGCAAATACTACACAAGTCTTGTGTCCGCGCTAATGCAAATACCTATAAGGTGAAGTGGTGAACACACTCTACCAATTCACTCCCTTTTTTGAAGCAGGAGTCCGCTCACACCAGTCCTGTATCATCATCTTACATTTATCAGAGGTGAGTCCCATGTCAAACATACTACGATTTCTGCTCAAGGTGTTTAAAAGACTGTGCATTTCGTCAGCATCTTCGTTGAGGTGGACAATACTCTATATCGACGAGACTGTTCTCTGGTTTAAACCAAAACTCAATTTCTAAATCTTTAAAGTCGATTACGGTCACATCCATCAGTATATGTTTGATGAAATTAAACAAAAGTGGGGAAAATGTGCATCCCTGTTGGACGCCGCTGGTCACCATTATCTCAAATGACATTTCTGCATAAGCTCTTACGTGGCTGCTTGAGTTCAAAGGGAATGCCTTGATTAATGTGATAAACTTCCTCGGCACTCACTGCACCTCTATGCATCACACTATGTTATCATACAATCACTTCGAACAAGGTGTACAGATGTTGTTATCATATCGTTGTAGACCCAATCACTTGATGAAAAGAATTTGTGAACTAAAAAATAAGGTATAATTATATTTCAATAATTTACACACAATGATAAGTTTTGTTATTGGTAATATTTCGAGCAAAATTACTGCCCGTGTTCACACCACTGTTGGAATTGTTTTATTCACACATTTATGATTTTACTGATATTAAAAAATAAGGTTCCATCTAGAGTATTATTCACAACGTTACATAAGATGTATACACTCGTGGAATTTCTATTCCTTTCAGATTTTAGGTATTCTTAATAAATAAACGTTCGCCCTTCCTTAATCGATCTGGGCGACCCGTCCACCGGCAGGTCATCCATATCAGCGCCGTTCTTAGCGTGGACACCCGATCATGAGCAGCCATATGCCAGAACTCCCGGTCCCACGAAATTCCGCACCCTGGCCTCCAAGTAGCTAGATTACAGGCGTACGCTACCACGCCCAGCCGACCATGCACATGGTCCGGGGTTCGATTCCCGGCCGCCAGCGCACTCCTTTACCTTGCTAAAGCAGAAGTAATGCTGGTAAAGAGGAAAGGTTGGGCATGAGACTAGCAACCCCATCCTGTAAAAATAATCACTGCTACAGAAACTTCAAGCCACTAGCTTGTCTGTCTGTCTGTCTGTTTTCGACATAGAACTTTGCACAAATGTGCGGAAGCCACTAGCTTGAGGCCCTATGTTCCACTGGGAACGTGAAGGAATATATATATATATATAAAGTGTAGTACTAATTATTCTCTAATATTATACCAGATAGTTGAATGTTGCTTTTGTATTTTCAGGTAATTTTGATCTGTCAGAAATTATGAAATCAGCATATTTTTTCAGCTGAATACAGTTGTCAAGATTATTGATTGTCTTATACGAATTATTTCATGTATATATACAACAGTCACTTTTGTACTATCCCAATTGTAAATATTTCTTAATTTTTATTATCATATACGAATAAAATATTCTTCCTTATACGGCTTACAATTGTTGTCACTCAAATGACTAGATTTAAGGACTAATGATATGACTACTATAAACTTTGGTGATGTCTTTCATTTCCCACTCACGTAAAATTGCGTCACCGTAAGTATTAATTAAGCTCCTTGATAAGCTTCCATGGTATTCCATGAAATCACTGGATAACAGTGATGCGTACATTTTTATTTTCCCTAGTATGGATCCTATTTGATAACACAAATGCTGTAAAGGTAGTGGGTTAAAGAAGGTATATAGCTTGGTCTCATTGGCAAAACAGTTAAACTTAGGGTAATAAGTCACTCCGTTTCCTTTACTTTGGTTTTCTAAGAAAGTGCAGAAGTTCAAGCTGCCAAATTCCATGTAGCACACGAAGGTAGACGAAAAAAATTGACTCAAAAGTATTATAAGAGGCAGAAATGTAAGGGAGAAAGAATATTAACATGGAAAAAACATTTAAACTTTAATAGGCATGACAGATCACAAAGCTGAATATACATCTTCGCCATTGAGGACGATTTTGAGCCACCTTCCTAATAGTCTCTAGCCATTGGTTCTTAGCCCCATCCCCGAAATATCGAAATCATTCATAAATAAGTTATCCCGTCCGGACATGTAACTTGTAGTTCTCATAAAAGATATATGTTCTAAGTGCATAACCGCAGGTTGAATGTCCTACACTTTTATCCATCTTAAAGTCTACTTAGTATGAAAACGAAACCTGCCACAAATGTAAAAGTACAATAAATTGTAGAATCTCTTGTATTTTTCCTGAGCACAGCTATCAACTCGTATACATTATCTTCAAGATTGTTTTCAATGGAGAGAAAGTTGATAATAGTTATCACAAAAAAATTCTTCAAGAAACAAAAATCATTGTACTTTAATGTGTGTTGATTGCAGTGTGTTTCGCTAACTGTAAAGTGAATAATTCTGTAGTTACCTAAAGAAAACAGTCAGATGTAAACTTTATTTCCACTTTGATTGTGATTTGTTATAACCAATTCAAGAGATAAAATAAAAAGACAGGTCAGCAAAGAATGTTTTTTTCGTAATCTCTCTTCATAGCCGTACAGTTCAATAGTGTAATAAAAAGTAGTGGAGACACCAATAAGGGTCAAATATTAACATCACTTAGTAATAAAATTTGTGAAAGTTTCCGTATACCCACCATTAGTCAAAGTGAATTAGCGGAGATTGTTGAAATCTCCTATATAAGCTGGATTTTAGAGGAAGCAGGAAGTGTATTTAGCCAATTTTTTCATGCCATCCTATGTATAGAATCAATAACTCCACACTTTCCTGTGGTTGACAGTTCATCTTGAGTTTATGTTATTTGTTTAGTGAAATTTGAGGTCCAGTCAGCACGCTTTCCTCGGTTTATGTAATGCGACAGACATACCGACCAGAAAATAAACACAGCATCATGCAAGTTATGTTCAAGGTCTTGATACCTACTCCAAAAAATGTCACTTTTTTATATAACCACCTAGAAGGCAGCCGAGTGAAATGTAGCTGTTTTGGTCGTAATTGTGCGTAATGTGATGGCGAATTCAAGTGGTATATGAATGACTATTGGTCTGAAGTGTTGGTTTAGTGGAATTCGATTGTCTTTAAAGTTAGATTACGGATTTACACCAGTTTGAAAACTCGAAAATACTGGACAGATATAACCTCCTAGTTTGGGGTTCTTCATCAGTACGCATTCATGACTCTACGAGGACCAAACACAGCATCTTCGGGAACCCATTTAACATTCAGCAACTGGGATGGAATCCGGTAACCCACGAATTCTAAATTCCGTTGGTACGCGATTTGCGGTGACTACATAACAAAGTTGCCTGGAGTTCTTTTGAGAAGTCTTGACCAGTAACATCTACCAGGTAGGGTGTGAGAAAAAATACTTGCTAAAGGCATTAGTCGGCGGTGACGCTATAAATTGCGAATTGACAGGAGGTATAATCTATGTGCCGTTGCATTCCATCCGAGTAGTAGAATAGTCAATGAGCTCATCTCGTAACCCTAAGGCCCTAAGTTCGTTCATCCATTTTGCATGGGTGTGTACTGTTTAAAAGTCTCAAACTGTACCGAAACAGCCGTTCAGTACTGCTAGGTCTTCAATGGTCTTCTAACTGATGTCAATCCCTTGTCACATTTGAATTATTTTTCCAGAGGTGGGTTCTGACAGGTAAGTTGTGATATTCAACAATTACCGTAGAACAATCCTAATTATCTGACTTGTGGTTAATTAACTGGATGTAGTCACGTGGAGTGATATTCAGCTGTCAACCAGCTTTATGTCTTGGAATTGCTGCAGCTGACTTTTAGTTAGATTCGTAGAACCGTAGACATGAAAGTCGAAGATGTGTTTTTGTCTGCTAATAATTCCTGTAATAACTGAACTTTGCAGCGTAAAAGTAGAGAAATATCGGTTAATAAGGGTCTAACTTCAGTAAAGCTAACACAGTGAGATTTGTCACAGGTTCTACAGGCAGATATGTACTGTGAAGTTGACTGCGAACAGAATTCATTCGAAGGACTTCTTTAAGATATGTATCTATAACATTCATAATAAAAACCTTCCAGAGTCCTAATTAGGATTTTTCTGTTGCATTCAGGTGCATACTTTTAAATATGGCGAGCATAAACTGACAGATGGTTTCGCGATGGACAGTTCATAAAAACAAAGACTTGTTCAACAGAAAAACTGAGCTCATCTTATCTCAAGGCCTAACTTCATTTATAAGTAGTTCAAAAACTAGTAGATATACATTTGAATCACGCACCTCTCAAAATTCGACAATAAGGAAAGCAGAATTTAGATGTTTTTTTATCTTATTATTCACAAGTGTTTGTGTATATTCCAATTACTTCAATTTATTGTCTTCTATAAAACTGTTTCAGAAACTATTACAATGAGCGTATCCTGAGACGTTTCGATGCGTACTGTTACTTAGTTAGTAACACAAGTACGGATTCTTTGTGTTAACTTCTAGTAATGAGTAATGAAAAAACTCTGTTATATCAAAAAGAGCTTAAATGAATAAATACCACTTGTTACAGTCAATTTCCAAAAATCTTTATAGTTAGCTTCAATAAAAAATTATACTTATTTGTTAGTACTATTTGGTTAATCCAGTAGTTTCATTGAATCATGAAATTGGTTAGTAATAATCGCTGGATTTATGCTCGACGCTGCAGTTGATCGCGCAGCACAAATAATGACCAGTTTTAGATATGATGGAGAAGATTTGTAGCTCATAGGCATAGGTTTATGCATTCCATCCAGCTTGTGTGTTGCATTTTTGATTATTGTTGAAGGTGTTCGTCGTTGCTGAGTAATTGCTCCATCGTCTCTTTGGCTAGTTTTTGTCAGATGGAGGTAGACGGCACAATTGTAATAATGAAAAGAAACGAGTTAGATAAAACTCACAACTTAATAAACAACAACATCAAATTCACAAGAGAAGAGGAATCCGAGAATAAAATCCCATTTTTGGACGTCTTAGTCAAGCGAATAACCACAGGGGAATTAGAAACTCAAGTTTGTAGAAAATCAACTCGCACAGACCAAATCCTGATTTACAACAGCAACAATCCAATAACACACAAAAGGAATTGCATACAAACATTATTCAAGACAGCCAGCCAGGACTCATTGCACCACTCCCACCTTAAGGAAAATTGAAGAAAAGTATCTCATGGACGTCTTCCAAAAGAATGGATATCCACGAAATTCCATCAAAACACATATACACCCAAGCCAACCTATCAAACCGAAAGCCTCCAAGGAAAACACAAAGAAAATCACCCTACTATATATAAAGGATGTCTCAGAAATCACTCCAAGACTCTTCAAACCTTTAGTAATTTTCGTCGCACACAAACCGATAAAATCAATTCAGTCAGTTCTATGTCAACCAAAAGACTCATCAGAGGAAGAAGATAAAACCACCATCATCTACAAAATTAATTGTAACAACTGCGAAAAACACTACATTGGCCAAAGTGGACGTCCCCTTCGTCTTTGTATCCACGAGCATAAGCTAGCAGTCAAAAGATGACATGACACTCCTTCATATTACTACATACAGACAACCACGGACATCAATTCGACTGGGACAGCCAACGTTCAAATATTAGACAGAGTAAACAATAAGAATACTAGAGAATTTTTAGAAGCTTGGTTGGTATTCCAGTGAATCATCAATCAATAGACACATCGAGATAGACAAAATTTATCAACCGATAAGAAAGAAACCTCACACACACACACACACAAAGGGTCAATGTTCAAGTCAAAGAAACAATCAGTTCCAATACAAGTAGCCTAGAAGGTGTGAAAAAACACAGAAACAATCAATCACGTCCAAGGTCACCAGGAGAGATGATTAATAAACTTGTGGAGAAATCTAAAAGCTCACTTCAAACTGAAGTATGCGCTGAAGATGTCACCTAGTAGGGTGATGAAAGCTTCGCAAACTAACCATCCAGCTCAGAGAACACAACTACATCAAAATGACTAGTTTTGTTGGTAATTACCAATAATTATTAGTTGATAGTTAACTTCTGCATTTTGCAAGCACACACAATTTAATACATACAGAGATACTGAGGCGTAGTCTCTTGTTTTACTTTGAGTATTTCAGCACCTGTTCAGTGATACGAAGATTTGTGCCGTAGTAAGTTTGCTTCACAAATTTTACAAAACCCTGCACCTGTTTCCCTGTAAATGACATATACTGACATTTTAGAGGTAGTTGCTTTATCGTATATAGTTTTGAACTGAAATTTTTTGTTCGTTTTGCTCTGCTGAAGAGTATTCCGCATGTAGGGGTTAAATATTGCTTTCTATTGCCTTTTTCTTCAGTGTGTTTAAATATATTTTCTCTCTATCCATTCAACTCGTCAGTTGCTATAATCTCCATACTGTTATCGTCACAGCTTCGAGTAAAACTGTATTTTTTTCTCTAATATAGGATATTCAACTGATAACTTTTATTGAAATTTATACTTTGATTTAATCCCCACTCAGCATATTCTTTTGCTTTTTTTTAACCTTCATTTTGGTCATCTGATTGTAAAAATCCTAAGCATAATCTTATAACTTCATTATGGTTTATTGATTTTCATTTAAATAGTCAACATCCTACATTTACTCACATTTTTTAGTTCGATTAAAATGTAATCCACTCTAAAATAGATAAATTTACTTATTTATTTGCTTACATGTAGAAGATAAATACACATTTTATATGTATATATTACTTCTCTTGGAACCTCATGATAGTCTGTATGTACATTTAAATATGGACAAATGTAAAACTGTACTTTTAACTGAACACGATGAACTATGAAAGATCCGATAACAAGAAGGGACTTTTAGAAAGTAATCGAAATGTAAGAAGCTCTTATGTGAATAAAACATACTTTTCTTCACCAAAGTATGATACTGACAAAGTGAAAACATCTGTCAATTCTAGTTCAGTTGGACGACATACAAACAGAGCATCAGAATTAAGGATTCAAGCTTTCAAAAGAAATAACACACCTAGACACCAGTCAGATATTGCAACGAACAAACAGTATCCCAGGAGAATTCCTTCTACAAGCTTACGAACTAGTTCCAAATTATACAGAAGTTCCTCAATGGATACTGGTAAAGAAACCACCTTTAATCAGCCTGTAAGAAATCAGATTAATCCAAATATGAAAGAAGGAGATAAGAGTAAAATTCCTATTCAAAATATACTTGATATAGGCGCATATGCAAGGTCGGCAAGTCAAATGAAAATTCCATGTGATATTCCTTTGATAAAATCTTTAAAAACCGGTGATCATGTTGATGTGTTTAGTAGTGAATTAAAAAATCAGCCTATTGAAAGAAGTGATCCACAATTTGAAGGATATGAATTTAATGGATGTATAGTTTCAGGAAAAGGTGAATATATAGCCAGTCCAGTTCAACCAGATATGAGAAACAAAACTACTTCATTGCCAAACCACCATCGTAATCAACAACAAAATCATCCATCGTATTCTAATACAAATTTACGTAGTCAAGCAACACCACTAGTAAAAGATGAATGTCAGTGTAGTAAGTTATCTAGACAAGGTAGTTTTAAAATTAGTCACCTGCATAAAGAAGTACAAACGTATTCTTTATCAGAATGGCGACAAGCTAGTGATATCAATAGTTGTACAACACTAGATACTAATTTCTTCAAACACACTACTGGTGAGTATACAAAAGTTAGAAAAAGTATGCATGATAAGTGTGTTAGTACTCAGGAAGAGAAAAAGTATTCTCCATCGAGTATTTTTCAGAAAATAAAGAATGATCTCATCTCCTTTGATAAAGATGAATGTAATCTATCAAATAAAAGTATTTCTTATCAATTTGATGAAATTTCCCCGAAATCAATTAACAAAAAGCATAGTATAATAAGAAAACAAAATATGAAACATGAAGGCGATATAAATAAATCGAATTCAGAAGAGTCAAGTTCGTGTACTCCTGCATATCGTAAAAAAATTCGTAAATTTCTCAAATGCCTTCATAGGCATCCCCCACCACCACCACCACCTGTGCATATAAAATCGTATGTTCTTAATGAGACAAAAGAAGACTCAACTAATCTTTACTCTCATCATGATGCCAATCAAACACAGACAAATTCTGAAGATAAAATGAATAACTCAAAGTGTTCTGGTGAAGTGAACTCTATGGATAATAAAGAGATAAGAAAGACTAAACAATGTAAACAGACATCAATACGACATAAATTAAGATGTCGTAGTATATTAGCACATTATGCAATAACTTATAATCATATGTTAAGAAGACTTAATCGACAAATAACAGGATTATACAATCAACATGATCAAGGTTTTCATGAAGTACAAAAAGAATTTTATACAATTCGTAAACGTTTAACTGATATTTCTGATCAAGTGGATAATATCTGTCATTGTTTAACTGATCATAAAATAGTATTAGATACATTAACAAGAGTTGTAGAGTCTAATAAATCAATTTATAATTGTAATAATCGTTTAGCCGATAGTAAATATAACGATTTAAAGATTGATAATAACGATAATGATAACACTGATAAGCATTCTCCGACTATAACAATTATTAATAATGCTGACGGTGAAACTGACTGGATTGATTCAGATACTGGAGACGATCATATAGAGATTTGTACAGGACAAAGTATTGCTACAAGTTTTAAATATTTGCCAACAGTAAGTAAAGATATTGAAAAAGTTGTCAATGATACAATGAAGCATAATAAAGGCAGTAAAACTAATCTATCATCGGAAGAGTATACAATAATCACAGAAAATAATTCAAATATATCAAATCAATCGAATAATATTTCAGAAAATAATAAAAAACATCATGAAGACAGTTCTGCTTCAGTGACATCAAATAATAATAATGATAATACACAAATTCTTGGTGTCATATCGTTAAACAATACTAAAGCAGGTGAATTTTCAAGTCATGGATACGATTATCATGATGATATTGATAGTCAAACTGAAATACTTATCAATAAAGAGATCATTTCTAGTCATTCACCGACTTCATCACCGCCTACACTTACTTATATGCAACAAAATAATACTGATGAGAATATCAATGGACAGAAAGCATTGCAACGCTACTATCGTCTAGCTTATATAAGTAGTCAAGATGTACGCACTTCTTCAGAATTACTGCATACCTCACCAACAATAAGTAATAATCTAAGCATACAGGATAATAAAATACATGTTAAAAAAAATAATAATCGATTAATAAACAGCAATAATAAATCATTGACTCATATGAATAAAACTGCAAAACATCACGTTTCTTCATTTGATAAGCCAGTATGTCGATATAACAATAATTCTTTCAGTGTATTACCCTGTTCAACTAATTCACCAGGTATACCGGTTGCGTGTAAACGAAATCAAGCCTTAGACGTGTCTAAATCAACAATGATCAATCAACAGAAGAATTCTGGACAATATTCACCACAGAAAAATTGTAAATTATTGAATAAACAAAGCCAAAATAGTTTTAGAAAGAATTCAACAAATAGGCTAAAAGTAAAGTTAAACAATAACAATCAAACTGATATTCATGAATGTGAGTCGCAAATTGTAAATCCGATGAATAACAGGAATACAACTACTGCATGTAAAAGTGATCTGCGTAATCCTTGTAAAAACAAGTAACAAGTCAAAAAAAGTCTGCTGCTGATGATGATAATAATAATAAAAATTCTATAGTTGAAATGTATTCAAAATCCCTGAGTGTACATCATTGAACGATGATCATATGTTCACTCCTTCTCGAAAGAGAAAATGTCATCCCCGTAAAACATATGACAATGATTATATTAATACAAGCCAATTAAACACAACCAGTGAAAGCAGGAATAATATGTGTACTAAAGCAACTAATGATAGATAATCGTTTGTTATGAGTAAGAGATCAGTCATAAGGTTGGGAAACCAATACTCTCAGAGTAAACACCTATGTATTACACCTATCATAATCATGACTATTATAATAACGTCAAGTACAATTCAACTGATTGCTTACATATATGATTCATGTCAGTTCAAATAATAATGTGGGTTAAAAAGAGCTTGAATTCAAAGTCATCAGTGTACATTCTTCAAATTTTTAAAAATATCTTTGTGCATAAAATTGATTGTATGATGTATGGCATGAAAATGAAATTCAAAAGTCTCTAGAAGTCGATAAAAGTTTATTAGAATCCAACTTTCAGATAAAATCTAAGTGGAAGAATTCAGCAGCCGTCTAATTAAGCTTCATTCCATATAAAACTCATAGACAAGGGGACTTATTTGATGAGTGTGTTACAATAATACCTTCATATCGTCATCTTCATACCTTGTGTAGTGAAATAATAATCTATGATCAATTATGTCAAGTAAATGGTAAATGCCGGAATATATATTACGCGTCAAATTTGATAGGCAAACATTAATCTGTACACTGTTAACGAGAAGAAAGATATAAACTGATTGTAAATATGAACTGTAGTTCCAAACATTAGTTGTTTATTATTAACTCTAACGATAGTAAACTGAATTTCCTAATTCATGTTAACAGTTAACTCTCTAAATATAAACTAAAAACTGATAACATAATGCAACTTCATATTGAAAATTGAAATTTGAACAAATTTTAATGACAGTGAATAATTTCACTTGTTTAACTAATTTTAACTGTACATTTTTGCATATGTATATCTATCTGACTCATAAACAAAAATCGAATTTTTTGAGTCGTTAATTGTTCATTTCAAAAAAAAGCATCGAATTGTAGACAATTATTTTTTTCGGAATTTGTTAATCTAATTACAAATATGTCAAATTTTCTGAATTAGTTAGGAGAAAGCTATAGAGCTAAGTCATATTGTAACAACAAAAGACAAGGACCGGCAACAGATCGTTTTATTACGGAAATCAGCACGTATATATATATATATATATATATATATATATATATATATATATCATGTACATTATTATAGCTTATTCAAGCAGAAAAACAGTCTTCTGATTGGTTGTTTCTGGTTTCTCGGAAAGTTAAGCCATATATTTGCGAATCATATTTGTCCACGTTAAGTCTGCTGTGATTGGTTGCTGAATCAGCCCTGTTCATATTTTCTCGCGGCCGATATTAGTGACCTAGACATTGACGTAAATTAATATCTACCAATCGGCTAGCAGCCTGCTCTCACCACAATATGGTAGTTAATATTCGTCTTTCTTTTCTTTTTTTTATTCCTTTGCGTTCCAGGTGGGACATATGGCTCCAAGCTTTAAGCTTCGAATTTTTGGTAACTGTGATTTTTTCCGGGTGCGGTTGCTAGACACACTCCTAAACTTTCTTTATCAGGTTTGTCACCGACCAAGCAAGGTTTAGGATTGCATTGTGTGGGAATCAAATTCCAGACAGCATGACCGGTTGGCGAGCAACGTACCATTAAACAACCGACATACTCATCTAGGAGGATGAAAACCGTAAGAGAAATTAAGGTTACTAAAACGATTTATACTGATTTAAACTGCTCTTCTAAAAACGTAGGTTATGTATACTAATCAGTCACTGTGTGACAAATGAGATCATTGCGGGAATCCGCACAGAGGCTTTCCAGTCACTGAATGATAGCCAACCTGAATATCCAACACTGAAATTTATACAGATGTTTTCATCATTTTAACATCATGAATAAGATAATTCCGAAAGCACATTAAGTGATTAGCCAATTTATGGTCTATATTGTCACTCAACAAATAATAATTGATCCCGACTATGGAGATGAGAGAAAAGATCAGCAACGACTTATCTCGCTTCAGATGAATTAAAATACTTAACACAAAAAATAAACGTCCAAGTTTGAAAATTGTTATGTACTCGTCGCTAATTTATTGTTATGGACTGGTCGAGAAACTAATAGACCTGACGCAAGAAGGCGGAAATCAGAAGACCACTAGGTTTGCGATGATACTTCTATTTTTCCAAACACAAGGAGAAGCAATAAGTGGTATTACACCAAAGTAAGTAGGTAAGTCACACAAATTGTGAGAACGAAATATATATATATATATATATCAAAATATAGCAGACATGTCAACAACCACCATATATGGATATATGTCACTAAGCAACGGACTGTCAACAAACACTCATATTATATATAATATAAGGGGAATATACATTGTTAAAGGAGACAGGTTCATACAAGTGAAATGGTCACAGACTAAGCGAGCAAACAGAAAGAGAGACCAACATACACATATATATATATATATATATATATATATATAAATGGATACATATAAAAAATACACCTAATGTGTGCGTTGTTTATTCTCTGTTATGTGGTTCCATACGGCCATTGATATTAGGCGTATGGCGCTAGATAAAGAGGGAAAGTAAGTTGATCGGATTTGAAGACACATCCATTAAGATGGTTAGAATAAGCTTTACACATACTAAGTCATCGCCTTTCTATTTGAGCTATATTACCTTACATGAGATTAGATTGGAAATGAGTTAGAGATGATCAAATCAAAACATGGAGCTAATTCCTGAATTCGTTGACTGATGGCTACACAGACAAATACCGATTGCCTGGTTGAGGGCTCCTCAAGACTCTAAGAACTAATGACTGGAGATTTTTGGCGACATACCTCAAAATCTAGATATGATAGAGAAGATTTGTAGCTCAGGTGGATGATTTTGATGTAGGTTCTCAGAACCATGAAAACCAAATCCCATTTTTGGACGTCTTAGTCAAGCGAATAACCACAGGGGAATTAGAAACTCAAGTTTATAGAAAATCAACTCACACAGACCAAATCCTGATTTACAACAGCAACAATCCAATAACACACAAAAGGAATTGCATACAAACACTATTCAAGACAGCCAGCCAGGACTCATTGCAACACTCCCACCTTAAGGAAAATTGAAGAAAAGTATCTCATGGACGTCTTCCAAAAGAATGGATATCCACGAAATTCTATCAAAACACATATACACCCAAGCCAACCTATCAAACCAAAAGCCTCCAAGGAAAACACAAAGAAAATCGCCTTACCATATATAAAGGATGTCTCGGAAATCACTCCAAGACTCTTCAAACCTTTAGTAATTTTCGTCGCACACAAACCGATAAAATCACTTCAGTCAGTTCTATGTCAACCAAAAGACTCATCAGCGGAAGAAGATAAAACCAACATCACCTACAAAATAAATTGTAACAACTGCGAAAAACACCACACTGGTCAATTGGACGTCCCTTTCATCTTTGTATCCACGAGCATAAGCTAGCTGTCAAAAGATGACATGACACTCCTTCGTATTACTACATACAGACAACCACGGACATCGGTTCGACTGGGACAATGTTCAAGTATTAGACAGAGGAAATAACAAGAATACTAGAGAATTTTTAGAAGCTTGGTTGGTATTCCAGTGAATCATCAATCAATAGACACATCGAGATAGACAAAATTTATCAACCGATAAGAAAGAGACCTCACACACACACACACACACACACACAAAGGGTCAATGTTCAAGTCAAAGAAACAATCAGTTCCAATACAAGTAGCCTAGAAGGTGTGAAAAAACACAAAAACAATCAATCACGTCCAAGGTCACCAGGAGAGATGATTAATAAACTCGTGGAGAAATCTAAAAGCTCACTACAAATGGAAGTATGCGCTGAAGATGTCACCTAGTAGGGTGATGAAAGCTTCGGAAACTAACCATCCAGCTCAGAGAACACAACCACATCGAAATACCTCAAAATCGTTCGCAATGACGCAGACACATTCACTCTCAAAGAACGCTTAGATCCATTAAATTGGCATAACCTTTATGCATCAGTGTTAGAATACTTGCCACGTGGTTAGGGCTCTGATGCCCCAATCGACTCACTCCCTAGCCACGCTTAGCAGGTAGCAAGCCCGATAGAGAAGTGAGATTGGGCGTGAGGCTAGTAACCTTACCCTGTAGAAAATAAACACCACTGCCAGTGAAACTTCAAAGCTGTATGTTCCACTAGGAATGCTCAGGGATATAATCATAAATCTATACGCTTAGTCTTGTGCGTCCCCGTTTATTATGGTTTATTCACATTTATTTGTTCCTTACTTTTATGTGTGCTCTGTGAAGTATGGCAAGGTGAACTGTCAAACTTTTGTGTGAAGTTCTGCGTTAAAATTCAGTTCAATTTGGGCTTTCACTCATATGATTGCTACACGTCGTAAACATTAATTTTTCTTATGAATCAGTTTATCACTCCTAAATATAGCATAATCGATAAGTGTACTTTCTTGTATTCCTTAACAAAATGTCTATTTTTCTAACAATTTCCTTTTTTGTTTCTTTACTCATAAAAAAGAATTTATGAAACTCTGTAACTGGAATTTCCTTTGTTAATTATTGAAGGTAATATGCGCTAAGCTTTTCAAAATTTCAAGAGTTATAACTATGTCGGGTTATCGAACATAATTCAGTCCCCCACCTGCTAGAATGAAAATTCCTCAGTGTGTTGACTACCATAATGGATGGGTCTGATAGAGTTGATCAAAACGCATGATGATAGATCTCAATAAAAATTAAATGAACATAACTTTAGAGATACATATTTTAATAACAGCCAATGGTTTCATGGTCATACTATGTATACGCAACAATTATGATCGCACTAAACTGGGATTATTTATCACTAATGATAAACATCCTCAAGAACCAACCCAGATAACTTACTTTTAAGAACCTATCGCACAACCAATAAATGGAATTCACGAACATCATAGAAACATGTACATTTTTTACCTAGTAGAGAATTTACTGTTTAGTTGCTTGCTCTATTAATAAAATATAAGTACTTACTAATGCACCACACTAGGACAATATTCTTGATAGAATGAAAATTTTACTTGCCACTTTAATTAGATTTATTATGGCGTTGTCATTTCATACTATTTTTAGACCTTATTGTTCAACTTCTATTCTGTTTAATCCCTTCAAATAATTTAAGTTCTGTAAACTTCCTGTTAGTTTTATACCTCCACTTCGTGTCCACCTTCATACTCTGACTCTAGAATAATCTGTAATTTGCTATATGTACCAACAAGCTTACTGATACCATCCATTCGACACTTTGTGCATTTAGCTGTGTAATATTGACGACTTCCGTCGGTAAGGTAACTAACCGAAGTATATTAATAGTTCTGCATACCGATACTGAAGTTTCAGTTTTCACCACAAAATGACATGCAGTAGACAACCATTAAAAACCACGGAGTACTAAACAGATGCTTTGTCCCTGTTTAGGATGAAGTGTCCCATGTCAACAACTGGAAATATTCTATTTCCTTACCCTGCATTGTTTTGTTGCTTTTATGTACCGCATCTCTTGGGGGTCATATCTACCAAGTTTGCCTTTTGGTAAATCATTAAAATTTTTCTTTGATATGTAGTTGAATTACGACAACTTAGATCATTATGTAGTAATACTATGTCCCATATTTATACTCGGTTATGATTACAATCAGAATGCGTAAGCGCAACTAAAGAATAAATGAACGAAGGACAGTTTCTGAACCTAATCATGGCAATCCAGTGCGTCGGTGGTATAGCGGTTAGGACGCTCGCCGACCATGCACATGGTCTGGGGTTCGATTCCCGGCCGCCAGCGTACTCCTTTACCTCGCAAGCTAGAAATAATGCTGGTAAAGAGGAAAGGTTGGGCATGGAGCCAGCAATCCTATCCTGTAAAATTAAACACTTCTACAGAAACTTTAAGCCACTAGCTTGAGACCCTATGTTCCACTGGGAACGTGAAGGAAAAAAGAAGAATGAAATACATACAAATTATCATTAGACTGGGAATACAAAAAATGATTTCAAAGTTCTATCCTGTCCAATCAACGGTTTGTTATTAGTGCTGATATTGTATTGGTCTGGCTTCAAGGACCAGTTCATGAAAATGGTGAAAATTAAGTCAACTAACGGAGTGTTACACAACTCTAAATACTAAAACGACTGAAATGTCTTTGCTTTAATAACCCTAGTAGGAAAATTCCCACAACTTTGGGGATAGAAACCAAATACGCGACAGTTTAGTGTTAATCAATAAGCGAAAAATACCTAAACATGAAAGTTTGAACGCGTGGTTGAACGAAGAGACTCTTTTGAGTGATTCCACCCACTTAGCTGTACAATCACAATTTTATATAATGATTTGCGTGTGTATACACTCAGTTTGGAAAGCATAACAAAAACAATTCAGTTTGGAATATCACTGACATAATCTAAATATTTAGAATGAAGGTTAGTCAGAATGTAGCTAAGGTTACAAAGATTTGTAAGTTTAGATTATAGGTTGCGCATTATGACAAAATCTGTTCAGAAAATTGAGTGTTAATGGAAGAAACACAGAGACAATTATCACAATATAATAAAATCTGTAAAAAATGAATGCAATAAACAAAAAGGCATCTAAAAAATAATGCTAATAGTTGTAATATCAAAAATACTAGGGAAAGAGAAATGTTGATAATAACTGAGTTCAAGATTACACAGAAGAAGCAGGAGGACATGTTTTTTCTGTGTGCATAAACCAGGGTTTTCCTTATGAATGGTAAAGACCTTAGTATTGCAGACAACATGGTGGAATGACGTTTTAGGGAGGCTTCTCCTGACCTTGTAGAGAATTTCGAATTCTTCCTCCTTAGAAGTTGAGTGCAAAATAGGCTCAGTTGTAGCACTTCGTACTGAATCATTGTGATCTCTTTGCAGCCTTCCGGTATAGTGTTCCTTGACTCAGAAGCAACACGTATTGAACGACGGATATATATATATCTTCGATGTCACACAAAATCGAAGACTTACAAGTGAGCGAAAACCGACAAACTGATCGAAGAACCAGACAGTGAAGACAGGACTCCAGGTGAACATAGACAAGACGGAGGTTATGAAAATAACCAGCCAACCAACAACAGCAGCAACATCCAGCGCCAATCACCACCAATGGGAAAGATTTGAGAGGGGTTACTTCACTCACTTATCTAGGGAGCATTGTCTCAATTACAGGAGGAACAGACGATGATGTCAAATCGAGAAGGCGTGAAACACATTCATCAACTTGAAACTAATCTGGAAATCTTCGTCACTCAGCATCAACAAAATTCGGAACTTCAATACAAACGTCAAGTCAGTCAGTTCTTCTATACGGATCAGAAACTTGGCGGGCAGGTCACAAAGAATATTTCCAACAGGCTATTGCATACCTTTATCAACAACTGACTATCTTCGCTCTATACTGAAGATCAGATGGCCGGGACGGAAAGAATCACCAACAAGAAACTATGGGAACAAACAAAACAAGAACCAATCGCTAACTAACAAATATGCAGGAAAAAGTGTAGATTGATTGGACACTGGCTGAGCAGGAGGCCGTTGGGTGACATGGCGCGTGCATCAGGCCATTGCTCGAGCGGATCCCGAAAGGGAAGCGGCGAGTGGGACGTCCAAGTGTGACATGAAGATCGTGTGAAGAGAGAGGAGTTGAGACAGTATGGACTAACATGGATGCAGGTGAAAGGTACAGCAGAAGGAAGACAGAAGCAAGTGGAGACGTGCAGTTGAAGCCCTATGTTCCACTAGGAACCCAAGAAAATAATAATATACCTGGCTCCACAAGAACAAGTAAATTAGGAGATACATAGAAACGACAGAATACGATAATTCATCTCTCAAGTTATTAGAAAACACTAGAGAGCAGGAGAATACCAAATCTAGTGCACAGGTAAAGAATATTCTTTTCAACACAAAAATAATTACATATAACTGTAACTATGCAACTAAGTGAGTGAAATCACCGAGAAGTGTCTCCGCTGAACTAGTTGTTAATATTGAATGCACATCAATCTTCACTGTTTATTCAAGTACACCCAGAATAAAGACCTGTGCAGTTCTCAGAAGACTACTGGTTGGACTTTAGAAAAAATTAACGAAGACACTGAAAATTTTTATCCCTGTCAAAATTCGCATTTTGGAACGAAACACTTCTTAATAAATATGACAGAATCACAGGGATAAGCGGTATGATGACTTGCGGGAATCTCTAACGTTTTAGAAATTTACTTGTCATGACACTCACCTAAAGAGACGACATTATATGTGATGCTGAGGGGGAATGATAATTCTTAATCATATCCCAATCAATTGCATACAAAATGGAAAATATAATATTGAGTGCTTCAGCACACCTTATTTTAAGAAATGGCTAACACTTCTTAAAATAATGGACGGAACCTAAGTAGGACGACTAATGCACTTTTTACTAATATTTGGAAACCAAGTGGGACATTTCGAGGAGCGAAGGTGTGAAATACTAAGTGTGATTACTTAACAGCACTAAGTGACTATAAATTATACTATTAATTTTTGAGCAGAATATTGACTCAACTAATCTCCGGTCTTCCTTGAGTAGTACCAGCAAGTATATTCCTAAAGTCCGACAAAATACTACCCTGAATTTACTTAGTGTTTCTTGTTACCTTCTCATGCTAGAAATTACCATCAACGTTTCCACCATAAATCGACGCCTACAAAACTGATCGTTACCCAAGAGTCCACGTATGATGCATCTTTCTTTGGTACTACCGAAGTATATAGTCATGTCGCTAAAACAAAACATGTGATTCAGTTGAGATGAGAAGTAAATCTCCGGTTTACTGAGTGACACTTTAGAAAACAGTGTCAGAATAATACCTAGTTCGAATACCACTTAAAAAAGCGGTAATTAACACTGCACACGTTGTGGTAAGCTGAAAAAGACATAACAAACCGTTTATGTTAACATTTGAACAATGCATCCTTAAGTACTATCTCACCAGTTAGCGTGTTAAAATTGCATTCACAACCCACAAATGAGTTCAGAGTTGATAATCACTGATTTACACAAAGAACTAAAGCAAAGAGTTTTCTAACATTCACATTTACTGCCTGTATTCGCTATATTTCATTCACTTGCGACAGAAAAACCATATAACTGACAGATATGGAAAATGACAAGTTAATATGCATTATAATTAAAGTCATTCAATCAAATTAAATGAACAGAAATAATGTATATACATAACAGCAAAAGCAAAATTAAGTATCTGTAGTTCAAAAATCACCGTCTTTTAGAATGCTTGTGTTTCGACTTGTGTTCCTTGTGTTTAGGAGACTTATCTGATAGCTTCGAGAGCTTTTTCAACAGTTTCTCACGCTGCTTCTCAGAAAGATTTTTTAAGAACTCCATCGCCAAAGAATCTTCTTCCTCTGACGTACGCTTGGAGACATCAGTCAAGGCTTTTTTCGCCTTACTAAATATAGACGTGTATCGGTCCAGATCAGTGCCTCTTTTTAAAGACAAGCCTTCCTTTTGAAGACTTTTTTGAACTTGGTCAAGTGCAACCATGTCACTTGTCGTCGGCTCCTGTGTAAAAGACTTGCCAAAAAGTGGACAAACACGATCAGTGTTTAAATGTCCCCACTGCTTGCATCTCATGCAACGGACATTGCGGACTTCGATGGCGAAAGGTTGATCTACGATCTCGTTTGAATTTTTACAGTAAGTTTCTCTTGGAGCATTATACTTCCTTTGCCATTCAAATTTAACCTCCTTTTCATCAGGCTGCTCCTATTCAATATGTTAGCAAGATATATTACGACACTTACCTTTTCCACTAAAGCCGGTTGATCATACATCCAGGCTAATCCTAACCTAGCTTTCTCGTCCCCCAAGAGAACACGATTTTCAAGAGTTTCCTGTTCTCGGCGGTATTGATTAAGTTTCTCAAGTTCTCTCTTTGTATCATACTCATGTTCCTGTTCAGCCATCCATTTTCTTTTTATGTTTTCGAAATTGGTTGGGTGGAAAAACTTTTTACACATATAATTATTATATCCCTTCCCCATTTTTGAGAGCCTCAAAGAGATACCAAACAAATGTACCGTAAATAGAGGAATCCACCGCCGACACTAACCTCAAGATTCAATGTCTTTCTGGGTGGATCATTGTTGTAGTAGAACACCACAGACAATAATAAATATATCAAGCACGCTGGAATAAGACGCGAAAAGCAGAATAAAGACCCGGGTTAAAACACTGCGTCGGTGGCCCAGTAGTTGGGACTCTCGCCGACCATGCACATTGTCTGAGGTTCTATCCCATGCTGACGCACACCTGATATCTATGGTCAGCCTGCAAAACTTAATCTACCGATATCCATGCTGAAAATTTCAGACTTGTACCAAAAATACAGTGTGGAATCAAGCCGTAATCAAAAAAATAAATAAATTACCAACCGAGTCAATAGCAGAAGTCAAGTATGTATACAACAAATGAGCTAGGCTATGACTGCTCAGCGACCACCGGGTTTGAACTGACGCCTCTTTTTGAATTTGAGCCACAACACCACCCCGTCGGTTCCAGAAGGCTATCCTCACCGACTTCCGTTTTATGTTCTCCCCGCCTCGGCGTCATCCGTGCAAGAGAAAGACACATGGCTATCATGACTATCAATATAAGGCAGAGTTTTCCTCGGTGCCTGTCCGCTTGGTCGGAACAATTTCAGAGAGTTGAAGTGCACTGTCATTTTCTGAGCATTGTTGTTGTCTTCTCAGATTTCGTGGGTATTATCATTTGCTCTGTGGTACACCACATATAGACCTGCCGACTGTGCTTTAGCTTTGTGTCGACTCCAGTTGTCAGTCCCTGGTTGACTCAACCACACCTTATCCCCTATATCAAATGGTGTCCCCCACTGCCTCCTATCATAGTATTTTTCTGTCGTTCTTGTGCTCTCTGGAGTTCCCCGCGTGCATAGCTACGGTACCTGGCTATGTCTCCGCACAACCTTATTAACATTTCTGATGTATTTAGCGGATCATCCCACCGGGGTATAACCGATGTAGCCAGGCGTGCCTCGCGGGTAGTCCATAACAGGTGTGGTGTCTTCCCCGTAGACGTGTGCGTGCCCCCACGGTAGGCCAACAAGCATCTTCGTAACATGATGTAACAGGTTGATTCAGATTCTCTCTCTTAAAATTGTCGTAGTAATAATTGCAAGCTTTGATTCGTAAGCTCTACCAACCCATTCACTTCAGGATGGTATTCTGTGGTTCTTGACTTATCACTTCCAAATAGATTACACAGCACCCTAACCCAAAGAATTTCGAAGTTGGTTCCTCGATCAGGACGCAATGTGACCATTTCACCTCGTGATACTCTTCACACATCCTCTTATCTATTCACTGTCAATTACCACTGTGATCGCTCCTCACTCATACTGCCTAAGTTCTAGTAACAGTGACGTATGCAAGCATCAGTCGTCTACACTCTTTCTCCCCGACGTGTCGGACCACAGCCAATCATTATCTCCATGTGCATGTCATTCTCAGAAATAGCCTCCCCGGCGTATACGACCCATCTGCTGTCTCTAACATCAATCAATTCATTCACGGATGTAGAAGACAAGAAACAACTTCAGAAGTAATCACGACGAAAATTTTAACAAAATCATGCAATTACAACAAGGTACGAAAACAACGAGTAAACACAATGAATCCAAAAACACCAATTGATATGACACACCACACGTATATACAAACAGTACACACAAACTTGCAGATCGTGTCTCGATGGAATTCGTTTGAAGAATCACAGGACTTACACCAGGACGCCTGCAACCCCTCTCTCGTTGACGATTGTAAGTTGTGGAATGTCCGGACACAAACAAGATTAACCAATAATTACAATAATTGGAACTCACACAATTATTTAACACATACATATGTACAATCAACACATCAAATGTTGTGGATTCTGGTACAAAAAACTACCCTTGAAGAACTGTAGGACTTACAGCAGTACGCCTACATTCCTTCTCAGGTTGATGATCCAAGCAGAAGTCGTCCGGACACAAACAGAATTACCAACAGACAGATGATATCAATTCAGTATGTACAATATGAACGTATGTACAAAATCACATACCAAGCACACTGGACTGCTCATTGATGCGCTAACCTTTGAAGAAATCTAGGTGTCAGTGGAGTTGAAGATTGAACGATCAATTCATGGTTGTTTGCTCAAAACCAACTTCCCCAATTTTCGCGGAGGCATCAATACGACAGTCATCGTCTCATCGGTCGCTGTTCAGAAAGAAGTCAGGAGACAACTGTCAGAAGTAATATTGTGATTTATTATTGTAATATTTGTTCACAGACCTTAGTTGTAACAGTGTTTATATGTTGGTGTTACAATAAAGAATTCTCAAGCGGCCAATCGGTGTTTTGGTTTTTCGTCCGTTATTACTAAGCGTTTCTGAAAACTTCAAGGAACAGCGTGAGCCCGAGTGCAGCAAGAGCTGGGCATTAACGGTTTACGAGACGTGGCTGACAGTTTCTGACAGTACAACGTCAGTTTTTAAACGGTTTTGGACAGTTGGCACGACCTTGGAGAGTCACCCTTCATCTCTCCTGGTGCCGGTCAAGTCCTCTTTGAACAAGCAATATCTGGAACGTTTTTGGAATTGGGCCAAGTTCAACAATGCCTGGGTCAAAGAAGGGACAGAGCGTCTTGGATGCAAACAGGAAAGTAAGTCATGGTGACTTGTCTGTTACTTGTAACGATGTGTCTGATGTTAAGCATGACATGGTTGATGTTACTGTTTCGCCGTTCAGGGATAATAGGAACATCAAACTCCCTAAATTTGAACCACGATGTTTCGACGGAAACCCGGCTGATTATCTACGATTTGTAAAGGAGTTTGAGATCATGCTGAGTGGTTTTTTATTAACTGATGAAATGAAATTGATGTATTTGATGAGGTATTGCACTGGAGATGCTGCAAGAGCTATACAGTGCTGTAAGTTTATGAAGCCGAAAGAGGGCTACGATGAGGCTATGAGCATATTACGTCAAAGGTTTGGAAGACCTTCAATGATTGTAAGGAACGTATACGAAGCTGTCAAAGGTAATGGCAGCCAACTTCGAGATGACTCCAAGGCACTTACTGAGTTTTTAGATAATCTTATGACTTATAAGAATACCTTGATTTCGATGAATTGCATGAGTGACCTCAACTCCAGCTCAGTACTAGAGGTAATTGCGAGACGCCTACCCACTCGACTGCAAAGGAAGTGGGTGAAGATAAGCTCCCGTATGGAGGATGAGGGTATCGAGCCAAGGTTTGATGATATCCTGAAACTAGTAAAAGATAGTGTCAATCAATCGATGAGCAAGTTTGCCAGTCTATTACATCTCACCCGTAGAATAGAGCAGTCTGAGAGCAAAACGCAATCATTGATGACGAATAGGCCTCAAAGAGGTGGATATCGAGAAGGCTCCATGATGTCTAGTAATGCATATAGACCTAGTGAGTGTAACAGGTTTCGTAGTACATCCTCAACAGATGAGTTACAAGATGCAAGACAAGCACGGTTGTGTTTTACACGTTTGCAAGAGGTGCATACATAGGTGAGCTGTGAACCAGTAAGCAAGTTCAGTGATAAGCTAAATGTAAACTCCAGGTCTGACTCCAAATTGTGTGACGATAACGGTGCGGTGAAGAAGTCTGTAGTTGCAACTGGTAAGCCATTGTTGAATAGAGTGTCACAGAATAGAGTTACTGCTTCAGAGTTCAGTTCTGACCCTACAAGTTTACAAGTTATTACTAGTCAGAGTGAAGTTATAAAACCTTTAATGATTTGTGAGGAGGAACCAAAATTGTCTACTTCTGTTATTAAAGAGTTTGAAAATGATGAAGTTGACGGTAAAGTGAATATTCGTGATAATGATCATGATACTTCACAGTTGTCTTTGGTTGATCATGATGAGATGAGGGATATGCCTACTACTGCTAAGTTAAATAAAGGTTCTGTACAACTACAACGTGAAGTAGAATTGAACGCAGATGCAGTTCCAGAAGGTGTGCATACTTGTGAGACAGTCAGTGTAATTGATCAGCGTGTAGCCCACCTATCATCAGATGATAGTGCTAAACCCGAACTAGTAGTGAAAGACAGCAGTGGTGGTAATCTTGCAGTTGGACAACTATCTGAAAGCCGAAAAAGAACAGCTTCTGATCCACCACTAAGTTCATCACCTTGTGTCACTCAGTCATCGTTGGTGCTGTCATCCACAATGAAACAGACACCCATCAACTCAAGTATCTTGTGCAATGACTATGGTATTATCAGTTCGTTTGAAAGGACGAATATCAATGGTCAGTTTAGTGTGGATAAGCCAAGTGTAAAGGAGATAGTTATTGTTAAATTGACTTGCACGAATAAAGGCATTTCTAGTTTCAAGTTACTATTTGAATATTATTATCTTTGGTGTAAATTACTCTGTTTCTACACTTGGTTGATAAGATATGTGGTGTGTTTGTTGGTCATCTATATTCTACGATACAATGACATGGGCGTGCTGCCGTTCAGATTTGAGGATATAGCTCATAGAAGGAAGTTAGCAAATGAACTCTGCGACGATTTTCCAACCTAGGGCGTCAACCTGAGAAGGGTTGTAGGCGTACTGCTGTAAGTCCTACAGTTCTTCAAAGGGTTGCGCTGTCTTTTACTATCAGCTCTGGTTTAGCACTATCATCTGATGATAGGTGGGCTACACGCTGATCAATTACACTGATTGTCTCACAAGTATGCACACCTTCTGGAACTGCATCTGCGTTCAATTCTACTTCACGTTGTAGTTGTACAGAACCTTTATTTAACTTAGCAGTAGTAGGCATATCCCTCATCTCATCATGATCAACCAAAGACAACTGTGAAGTATCATGATCATTATCACGAATATTCACTTTACCGTCAACTTCATCATCTTCAAACTCTTTAATAACAGAAGTAGACAATTTTGGTTCCTCCTCACAAATCATTAAAGGTTTTATGACTTCACTCTGACTAGTAATAACTTGTAAACTTGTAGGGTCAGAACTGGACTCTGAAGCGGTAACTCTATTCTGTGACACTCTATTCAACAATGGCTTACCAGTTGCAACTACAGACTTCTTCACCGCACCGTTATCGTCACACAATTTGGAGTCAGGCCTGCGGTTTACATTTAGCTTATCACTGAACTTGCTTACTGGTTCACAGCTCACCTATGTATGCACCTCTTGCAAACGTGTAAAACACAACCGTGCTTGTCTTGCATCTTGTGACTCATCTGTTGAGGATGTACTACGAAACCTGTTACACTCACTAGGTCTATATGCATTACTAGACATCATGGAGCCTTCTCGATATCCACCTCTTTGAGGCCTATTCGT